TTATCAGCTCCACTTACTATATAGGTGCACTTTGTAGTTCTACAGTTACAGACTGTAGTCCATCTGTTTCTCTGCATACTTTGTTAGCCTCCTTTTACCCTGTTCTTCAGTGGTCAGGACCCCCATGGACCCTCACAGAGCAGGTACTATTTGGGTGGTGGATCATTCTCAGCATTGCAGTAACACTGACGTGGTGGTGGTGTGTTAGTGTATGTTGTGTTGGTATGAGTGGATCAGATACAGTTGCAATGCTGCTGCTTCCATTATTTGTTAGCTGCATTAGCATTGGAGCTTCAAAGTACAACTTAAGAATTAAATTTTGAACGCCTGACATGTTTTGAGTGATTAAACATTTTGGCTAAATGGAAAATTGGAAAAAGATGCCATACTCCTCTTTAACTACGTAAGTTATAGCAAGGTAAAAATACACACTTTGGTTCAACATGGCTGGACCTTCCTCCTTCTGCCAAACTGCTGGGCCAAAGAGAACTGAATGCCTGAGGACAGCTATGGCATTTCTGTTCACCACAGTGTAACCTGCTAGAAAAAGAGAGAGAGAGAGAGAGAGAGAGAGAGAGAGAGAGAGAGAGAATAGAACAGAAGGGAAATATGGCTGAGGATCAGAAGCTGTTACGTTATGTCAGGAAAGGTTAATTGGAGCGAGGGTTTTAGGGAGGGGGGTTTTGGAAGGATGGACGCTGACCAGGAAGTTGCTCTGACCCCTGGTTTGAGGACACCTCACCATGCCACATACACACGGTCTGCCGTCGCCATGACAATCTGACATTTGTCACTATTCAAATGAGGCCAAGTCATGCCTGAGACCAGCCAGGCCAAAAAGAGTGTCCTGCCTTTCTCTCACTGACACAATACAGACACCACTAAAGCACTATCATGATATCTCCACAGTCAAATTATATATATATATATATATATATATATATATATATATATATATATATATATATTTTACTTAATTTGACTGTGGAGATATCATGATAGTGCTTTAGTGGTATATATAGGGGTATATATATATATATATATATATATATATATATATATATATATATTATCAAATGATTTGTTGATTTTCTAAGTAAAATAAGGTAACACATCTTCTACAAGGAACAAACTTAAATATGGCATTTTTCTGCAAATTGTAGTTCCAAATATATATTTATTTAAAAAGAAAACATAAAAAATATGTGCCATAATTTTTGCACAGGCCACATTTTATGTTTTACTTTTTTCCAATACGTTAATTCCAGCAAATAAACAGCAGTTGTGCCTTAAAATGTGCAGACATGTGTTCTCTAAGTGTAACTTATTTTCACTTTGAAAATTAATAAAACATGTCCTTTGACTAGAGTGCCCAAATTTTGTGTTCAACTGTACATGAACTTTTGAAGTTATGCTACTAATAAAGTGATCCTCAAAACAAGGATACACAGTGTTATTGATGTCAAAGACCACTCTTCTGAAGCATCAGAAGCTACTTCAGTGCTAACAGCACCCTCTTGTGGAGACTTTCCAGCCTGCTAAATGTTAGTGATTGAGTGGGTAACAAGCCTCTAAAAAAATTACATGTATACAAACCTAATTATTTGCATTAATAGACATTCAGCATACGCCATGCATAAGAATCAAATAAACACATCCATACCATCTAATCATCGTTTTTCCAGTATGTTAATTTCAGCCACAAAAAACAGTAAGTGCCTATTAGATAAGATATGCACATATGGAATGTGGAATATCTAAATATAAAAGCAAAAGAAAAATAATAATTATACAACAGCTTAAAACATAAATAACCCTACCTTAAAATGTACCGTACAGACAGACTTAAGAAAAACCCAGGTCTTCAGAGCTTTATTACCATCAATGTACAGTGTGACAAAACAAGAGGTAGTGTTTATGATTTTTAAATGACGATAAATAATTAGTTATGAGATAAGTAGGTCATTTAAAACTGTAAATGTGGACAAGTGTGGTAAAGTTCAGTGTCTGGACCTTGATCAGCACATGCACGGACTCTGAATAAGGCTTTAGTGAAGGCCAGAAGAAGGCCAGACTCACCGAACTGCTAATAAAACAGCCATCCAGGTCACACCCAGCATCAGAGCACTTAGTGTGATCTAACTAAACATCTAACCGCACTGACTGTTCTAGCATCAGCCTGCTAATCCACATGATTACTGAGGGAAAGGTAAATACATGATGTGTTTGACCACTGCGTATATAAATTATGAAGAAGGCCATAAACAGGCCTCATTAATCTTATCCTGCAGTCAGGTAGGTTAAGGGCCATAGTTAATGGCCAACTGGGATTCAATTACAGTCTCAGTGGTGAACCACAAACATTTCCAAAGCTTTTGCATTCATGTCACAGGTTTGCTTTGTCCATTACAGGAATGTTACTACAGTCTGCAGGTGAATTTGATGGAGTCTCTGATTATTTATGTTTATTTATTGCTAATTTGTATATTTTTTGCTCTGGAAACAGTGAAAGAAATTATGGTTCTGTAATTAATTCTGGTTTCAAACTGGTTTATTTGTTATGAATATGTTGTATTATTGGCCAGTGCTGTAAGCAGCTGCACTTGCTTCTTCTGGAGGCCTTTTCAGACCTGTTTGGGAAAAGTATTCCTGTTTTTATTCCTGTCTTGAAACTAATGCTTGTAAGAAAGCTGATGCCACATTTAATGGAATGAGCAACTGAAAGAGTGCAGCTTTTGTGGTGAAAAGTGATCAAATACAGAATAATATCGCCATCTAGTGTTGAGCTTAGGTTTTACACACCATTTTTTGGCAAAATTATATGTTCACCGTTCACAATACCAACCTTTTAGGCCCACTGTAGGAATAAATGAACCATTACAGACTGTAGCTCATGTATTCCTGCACAGTATTGCAGTTTGTGACCACAGGACCACTGCTGACCTGGTTTGGATGCTTCACCGTTCTCAGCATAGTGGTGACACTGATATGGTGATACAAAACATAAAAATTTAATGTATTTAGAGTGCATTTAAAAACATACTAATCAGGCACATGGACCAAAAGCAGTCTTCTTTATGTAATTCTACTGTTTATATGCTTCATAAAACAAATATCACTCATTTAAATGATGTTATAAATTTTCTCAACAGTATTTTGGCTCTAATCACCTGCTTCAGTCCACTGCTGCTTCCACAAACATACTTCCATCTTACGAAGCCTCCAGTTCACCATCTCTTAGTAACAAATCTCGCAAATTTGACTATAAAGTGGGTAGCTTTTGTGATTTAAAGTTAATGGCATGTATGCAACTTGCAACTTGCAGTCCAGTACAACTTTGACGCTAAGCTATTTCTTATGAACATGTCCACTACTGAGAAGACATGAGTCTGTTTTCATTACTTTATACTAGGCCAAGGGTCGCCAACCTAAATGTTAAGAAGCCATTTTGTCCTTTCAGCAAAAATCAAACCACCTCGGGAGCCACAACATTTATGTCCATTTTACCGTCTTGGCTGTAAATATGTCTCAGTATGTGCTCATGTCCTAGTATAGACTAAAAAATGTAAACAAAAACACAGACTTGCTTTGCTCTGCTTTAAGCTTTAGCTCAGATTTATTCAGTTTTCCCACATCTCCAGCAGGAAACTTTTCCAAAAGTAGAAGAGTTTCTTGTAAAATGTCTTGCAATGTTTGACTTTTTACAAATCTGAAATCAGCTTCTCATTCACCAGCTTCTTGTTCGAATTTTTTCTGTTCCACCTTAAATGGTGTCTGAGGTGCCAGAATGTAACTGCTGCACCATTTAAGGTGGAACGGGAAAATTCGAACGAGAAGCTGGCGCTTGAGAAGCTGACTTCAGCCTCGGCACTTTTTAGTGTTTGACAGTTTCTCGTTGCAGAATAAATGTATCAGGAAACCAGCTGGAGTGATTGTAAATGCAAATAAGTCCATTCGTTTTCAAAAGTCGTGTTTGTCTTAAATCTTTCTTTTTGTCTTTTCGTTAGCTACCAGCTAGGCAAGACTGTTGTCTACATTGCTATGGTGACCAGCAGTCTGTGCACCAAACTTCAGGGTTAAATGGTGAATTAGCAGTTCTACATTAACTCCAGTGTTTAAGTCCATTTAGTGTTAAAACTGTGTTGAACGATCAGCAGAGCTTTATGTTACTGTAAAGGAGGATTATTTTATTTTTACCTACAAATCTAATTCTGCTGTGGAGCCACAACAGGGCAGTAAAGGTGCTACTGCAGCTCTGGAGCCGCATATTGCCAAAACCTGCGCTAGACCATACAATAGACCAAAGTAGGAAAAGGTAACCAAATTATTCAATGAATGTTTTGTTGTAAAACAGTGCTATACAAATCTAATTAAACTGAACTATCATGCGCCCTGCGATGGACTGGCGAGCTGTCCATGGCGTATCAAACACCACTGGGACAGGCTCCAGCACCCCCATGACCCAGAAGGATAAGCGGTTTAGAAAATGTGTGTGACCCATCATTCTGAACTGAACTGATCCTTCTTCTCTTTGTGTAGTTCAATATTTTATTCTGCAAACCTCAGAAAGTTGGAGGATGAAAATAAAAACATAAAGCAGTGAATTTTAAATTGAATTTTACCTGTATTGCAATGAAAATAGAACAAAGGTGAGAAACTTCATGTTTTATTTTATTAACGTAGTTGTTTTTTATGAATATCCTTCATTCTGACATTGATGCCTGCAAAACGTTCCAAAAAAAGTTGTGACAGGGACAATTGAAGACTAGGAGCATTGGGAATTATTCAAAGGACATTATAACCAAGTGATGCAGTCATGCTTGGGTATAAGGGGAGCGTCCAACAAAGACCTAGTACTTCGACATTCATGGGCCGAACTGAAGGACTAGCTCTAATAGTCACGGTCACTGGTCTGTATCTGCGTCTGTGTTGGTGGGTTGGTGAGCGTACATCTGTGTCCGTGTTGGTGACGTGTGTGTCCACATGATGTTTCTCACATTTCCTGCTACACACTCATCATGGACTCAAACTCGTCTATCCTCTGCTTGGTGTTTCCTCTCTTGATCTTTCTGTAACACACAGTGTTGTACTTAGAGCCCGGGGGGCCGCTGCTGGAGCGTCGTCCCCTGCTCCTCCCATTGCTTCTGCCTGACATTTGACCCGTGGCTGGAACATTCTGTGTGCAGTTCTGCGGCTGTAGGTCACCCAGCCCATCCTCCTCTTCTTCCACCTCTTCCTTCTCCTCCTCCTGCTCTTTCCGCTCCTCTTGTTCACTCTGTCCATCATCCCTTTCTGAAGTGCTGATGTGAGCTTCTGCTTCCTCTTTCATTTGATCCACCTCATTAGTGGGAGCGTCTCCTACTTCAGTGCCTCCACCCATCTGCTCCACTGATGTCACTTCCTGTCCCACAGTTGCAAAGGCTGCGGTAAGAGTTCAGGACAAGGACATTAGTTACAACAATGACAGAAGCAGTTCCTTCTGCTTTGTCAGTAAGGGTGGAACATGTGACAGTGTTATCATTTTTATGATTAATGACTGCATAATACGCTTTTCTGAGCACGTATCAGAAAACTGGCTTCATAGAAACAATAGAGATTTAGACCGAATACTGAGAGCCTGTAAACAGCAGCTTGTGGTGGTACAGTGTCTGATTAAAACTGCATAGTAACATGGAAGTGCAGTGTAGTGTCCAGGTGTGCACTTGCATTCAGGCCCATGTTTTGAGGGGCCTGTGAATTGCTGTGATCTATGTTATTAAACCACAATCATCTCTGTTTCTTGTCCATGCATAACTAAGTAATTCCGATCCGGCCTAATTTTCTTAGCCCTTCAATCAGTGCTTAGCAGTCATCACCGTCTGTTGGTTCAATTCTTTAGCAGCACACCAAAAACATTCAAAATATGTTTTGAAATTGAAGCTCCAGATATGGTCAAAAATGTGCCTGGAGAGACTTGTAAAAGACACCCAATGGCTCAATAGAACAGAGCCCATGTGTCAAACACAAGGCCCACGGGCCAAGTCAGCCTGAGATTCACTACAGTCCCCAGCATGCACTGCAACATAGTGTGCGTTCTGACCCCCTTCCCCCAACAACAATCTATGAGCCAGCGGTTACACAAAAAGAAAAGATGCCTGGTGTTTAGATCAAGCAAATAAGCAGTTAAAAAAAAAACGACCTAAAACAATTTATTTTTATTTAGAATTATTTTTGAATAAGTATTCAATGGGCGGCACGGTGGTGCAGTGGGTTCTGTGTGGAGTTTCTCCTCATGTCTGTGTGGGTTTCCTCCCACAGTCCAAAGACATGCAGTCAAGCCAATTGGACATGCTAAATTGCCCCTAGGTGTGAGTGAATGTATATGTCTGTCTGCCCTGTGATGGACTGGCGACCAGGGTGTATCCTGCCTCCCGCCCAGTGACTGCTGGGATAGGCTTCAGCTTCCCCTGTGACCCAGAAGGATAAGTGGTTTCAGTAAATGTGGTATTCATTCATTTTGCTGTTGCAGTTTTGGCATAATTTGAATAAACAGTGGCCCATTCAGGTCATGGCAAAATGTAAAATAAAAATGAAATAAATACACAGCTGGCCCACGGACGTGCTGAGATTTTTATTACGGCTGAGTGGTTGAGTTTGACACCCATGGAATAGAGGGTGTTGTTTTCAAAGCCAAAAAAGTCTTAGGCAAGTTTTAGGCACCCAAAGGAAGCTTTTAAGAACCACTTATCTTGGCAGTAAGTGTGATTTTGCTGTAAAACACCATATTATGTTAAAAAAACATAAACATGGATATGGTAAAACGTGCTTTTTTGTTTAAAAGTTATTGATATCTTGGTTTGGCAAATGCAAATAAAAGAGCACAGGTTTGGTTCCAGTGCACTGCAGCCATTGCATGCATTTGTTAAATTCCATCAACAGCACACCTGCTTCACTGCAGCAGACTGAACATTTCTAATGTTCCAGACAGTCAAGGATGTTTAGAAGTGAGGTAAACAAAGTAGGCTACCTGTGATAATGTAAGACACTCTCAGCTTGTTATCTGCCTCAGGCTGTAGCTCTTCCCTGGATTAAAAAGAATCTTCCTGTGAAATCTACACTCACCGTCCACTTCATTATATTAGAAACATTTACCTTTTTCTTCCAATCAGTGTCCACATCATGAGCTACATTTACCTATACATTAACTTTATTTGTGTACAATTACAGACCGTAGCCTGCTGATGCACAGTTAATCAGCCGCCCTCTACCTCACTCACCATTGGTCAGTTTCCCACCACAGGGCCTCTGTGGACCAGATATTATTTGGGTGGTGGATCATCGTCAGCAACGTAGTGTTGTGTTGTGGTGGCAAGAGTGACGTTGGTGGGGTTGGTGCCACTGCTATAGAGTAACCCTTTTTGGTGCCGTATAGAACCGTTTTCAAAAAGGTTTTATATAGAACCATCACATTCTTTATCAATGTTAAGAACCTTTAAATTATGCAATAAACCCTTTAATCATGCAAAGGGTTCTTTGTGAGCTGAGGGTTCTAAATAGAACCATTTCTTTACCAAAGAACCCTTGAAGGACCAACTTTTCTAAGCATGTATGCTATATTTACTAGTGTCTCCAAGACTGAAATAAACCAATTTGAAATCAGCTTTCAGGGCCTCTTTTTGTCCTCAATTACCCAAACGACTCGTCGTGTCCAGAATAGAAAAGGACTGTGGGTAACCTCATGTCCACATAGTACAGTACTTGGCATAAGATGCAAAATCTGCTTTGTGGAATTTTAATTTGATTTGCATAAGCAAATTTGCAGATTTCTGGCAGTGGAAGGACTCTGGTCTGAAACTCATTTCCCACACTGAGTGAAGCTTATGTAATACACACCGGTATTAAAAGGCTGTTAAAATGCTATTGTATGTGTGTAAACACACAAACCCATGCACGCATACACATACACTGGCCAAGTGACCTCTTGACCATTAGAGCACATTTCTAATACAGTACAGGCGTGATTGTATTTCTACACGTATAAAAAGGCTAAAGCTTGTAAAATGATTACCACGGTAATGAGATAATTAGCTAAATAACACATAATAACTTAGTAAAACTCTTATGTTACTTTATCTTGTGCTGCTACTGAACTGAACAGGACTGTTTATCTTATATAAAGTCATTTTACGTAAATTCAGTTTTATTCAGTTTATTTAAACACAATGAAACATGTTAGCATGAAAAGAGCAATAAGATTAAATAAAAATCCATTTGTGATTGTTAGCAATGCTTTTCAATGCTGGCACATATTCCTTCGGCAGAGTTCCTCTTACCTTGGTCACTATTACTCTGGAGTCCAGCTGGTGGTTCAGGCTCTGGTGTGTGGTCAGTGGGCTGTGGAGGAACAGGTGAAGGGAGCATTTGATGGCCAGAGATTGTCTCCTGCCCTGGACACTCTGAACTGGGGTCCATCTCTTGCTCTTTCTCCTGCTCACTGAGTGGTCTGGACAACACTGGACAAACACACACATGCACACTCGCTGTTACGCTTTGGTAGCATGCTGATGAGCTTCTCTGCTCCACTGCCCAGAGAGGGGGGGCACTGTTTCTGAATCTGAGGGGGCATCTGATGCCTTTGTGTTCTTGGCTTGAATGTATAGTTGTGAGGAAAATCTTTAACTGTTACAGAATTGATTGACCATCTCTTACTTAGTTTCCAGTCAAAATGATGACCTTTAAAAGCAAGTTGTTCATGTTTACACTGTTAGAAATCAAGGTTCTGTGCAGGTGCATTTTTCCTTAATCACGGTGTAAACGATGTAAATGCATCCTCAAAGGTACAACAGTGGTTTTAAGGTCCTGAATAAGTTTTTTCCAGTTGAAAAAAAAAACATATTTGTATCTTTTCATAACCAAATGTTTTAAAACAGAACAATAAAATAAAAAGCCTGGAGACGAGACGGGGTGTGTGGAGTCAGTACAGCTTAGAACATATCATTTCAGTGGATTATGGTACAGTTATGTTCCCTGGCTAAAGGTACTGAGATGTACCCTTGAAGGTACCACCCCAGTGACAAGAGGGGTACTGCCCCAGTAACAGTTTCATACTCTCAGATATATATAGTGTATGAAGAGGTTGAAAACCTTCAACTTTACTTTTAATGTAAATCAGTGGAACCAGATTTGTTCTACTTTTGGTCCATTCATCAAGAAATTTACATACAACATAAATGACTACAGGCATTTTCAAATTATGTCACTGGAAATGAAGATAGGAGGTTTTGTTCCAACAGCAGCGATATGGAAGAGGAAAGTTAAAGGACATTAAGAAAGAAACAACAGTTTCTAAAACTAAAGTTTAAAAAATGACTGAAAGATACAGAAAAAATGAGACTCCTAACAACCACTTGGAAGACCTGATAGACCCCAAATCTGTCCTAATCAGATAAACAGCACTTAAAGCTTTCATCTTTGAGAGAACATCAAGCTCCACTCTTACTTCAGAAGTGTTAGGGCTTCATAGCCCTCCAAACGGAGGTTTTTCAGAGACTCCAAACAGAGTGTTAAGAGAAAAAAAGAAAAACTGGCAAGATGGCTGAACAAGAGACCAAAGAAACCCACAAATTTGAGAATTTTCTCTGTTAAAAAATTACAATAACCACTGTATTATCTTAGTTTAATGTCGTTTCAGTGTTTTATAGTCGTTTTCTTCATAACAAGCATAAAAAATCTCTAATAGCATGCTAATGTCTTGGTAGTTAGCTAGCTAACTTTCCCGTTCCACCTTAAATAGTCCGGCAGTTCTGACGCCTGAAGTGCCAGAATGTAACTGTTGCACCATTTAAGGTGGAACGGGAAAATCTGAACAAGAAGCTGGTGAATATCTGACTTCAGCTTTGTATCACCAAAGAATCAGGGGTGGGCGAGAATAAATAATTGTCACCCCCCTCTTTAAAAGGATATGATGCCCTAAATGTAACTAAAGCCCAGCAGTGAGGAGCTGACCTTTTCCTTCCTCTGCTGTCACTGCAGACGGGCCTGGACACCTACAGAGCAGCACTAGTAGCTGTTAATGAAGTAATGTTTTAGTTGAGGGTCCCATTTCATAGGGCAAGATTTCAACCACTACCCCTTATAACTCGGTTCCAAGGGTAAGGGTGACACTCGAAAACAAGGGGTAGGGGTAAAAAGAAGAAATGGGATTGGGCCTTATCACACATAACTCAGACCTAATCAACCAATATCACCTGACCTCAGTAATGCTATTATGGCTGAATGCCATCAAATCATCCATTCTTTCAACATCTAGTGTAAGGCCAGTTACTACAGTAAAGTAATTATTAAAGCATTGATTTCATAGGAAGTGCTGGATAAGTAGGTCATGGCTGGAATTGAGTCCTCACTCCATTTGGTCTGGCCTGAGATGACCACATGCAGAGTTTGAGAATTTCTAAAGTTGAAATTGTTGAAATTGTGCATTCTGTTGAAATGTTATGTTACAAAATCTAATTCTAAATCATGGCATAAGTTCTTTTTGAAAGTATGCGCACCAATGAAAGAAGCAGTCTAAGCGTTTTAGACCGTAATCAGAAGCTGTAATCAGATGGCGCTACATTCAACTATCAAACACATTCATCAGTTATAAAATGACTCATCTCAGGCTGACAGCTATTTGCGTGGATGTTAATAAACCATTTCCTTCTCACTCTGATGTTGTGATATGATGTTTGTGAAACCCACCAGACCTTACAGGACACGTACGTTCCTCAAATTCACAACCAACTGCAGACCAAACAGTTCGTTATGTCTGTACTCTGTGTTTCGTTTCGATAACACTTCACTACAACAAGCTTTAATAAACAGCGACTTCATCATGATCTAATATTTTGTTCATGACTGTTATATAATAGTTACAAAACGTCGCTGTCCAAAGACAAACAAGTATCTCCAAAATGATAACTTTACAGGAGAGGGCAAAAATGTTCTTTCCTTTTAATGTCAGTAATGTCAATAATGGCAGTAAAGTCAATGTGACGATATTTTATTCTAAGTAATTTTAGAGCATTGCATTGCAGCGATGCAGAAAACTAAAAATCGACAAAAATACAGATACATGTTTTTCTTTGGACAGCGACAACAAAGTTTCTGTTATAAAATATTTACAGTATATTATGTGGTTCATTCCACTGAATTGGTTCAAAGTCAAAGTTGAATACATGTTTCAGGCTTTTAGGTACTTGGACTTCAGACTAAAATCGCTGTGGTTTGAGTGAGCCGATACCTATTTATGTTTATTTTATTAAAACAGGTGATTGACTATTCTGTTTTGTACTACCAAAACAATCATAACACCAAGAAAACTTCACAGAATCCTTCAGTAGTGACTGTTTCAGTAGCTTATTTTGAGCAGAACTCAAGAACACTAGTCAGTACATGACTAAAAAACGCATCTTTGAAGAGTTACACTCACATAAAACCATAATATTTTCATTAAAACACAAAAAAGTTTACTTAATTGCAGGAAATATATGACAATTTTCAGACTTTGGGAGATATTTCCTTCAAAACAGAAGGATCTAACTGCTCACCATGTGGCCATGAGGGGCAGGGATGCAGCCTCACTTCCTGCTCTAAAATTCAGGGGTGTGGCTAAAATAAGCCTCCACCTATGGACTAAAACTAAAACTAAAACTGTTGGTGATTTAAAAATGTGGGATAGCATTTATGAATAAAATTTCTTTAAAAATTGAACTATCTTAAGTTTTAAAAAAAATTATAAATAAATAAAAATACAAAAAAATGAATATTTTTGAAAATATTTTTTTAAATCGTTTTTTTTTACTGTTGGTCTGCAGTCCATATGATAAAAAGTTTACTTAGCGTCATATGAATAATCAAGAATTATTCTGAACTGTAGAAACTAACTATTAATTATAGTTTGTTCAGGATGATTTAGTTAATTCATGCTTGTAAATTATATAACTTGAAACATTACACATTTACTTAGTTGCATAAAATTATTTATAATTATGAATTAATTGTCTGTTTTATTTATTTGTTTATTAGTCATTTTAAGTTATTATTTATTTTTTTATTATTTTCTACAATTATCTTGCTACTTTGTGATCCATAAAGTTATGCTTAATGTCATTATTAAGTGGTCAATAATCAGTGGGGTCCAAAAGTCTGAAACCACACTCAAATTTTAGATTGTTTTCATTTAAACCTGTAAATAAACAACAGCAACGTTTGGAATTAAAAATTAAAACAAAGAGAAGTTATGACAAATAAAATGACGTATAAATGTTTATGATTCTGCACAGTTTCTACTTCACTAATCAAACTGAAGCGAATTTGTGATGTTTTTTAGTCTTATTCTTTCTGTTGAAGCTCGTGTTCAGACGACTCTCAGGTGGGTTTGATCTGCTCATCAGAGTCTTTTATCACTGTTAGTGATCAGAGTCGTGTCAGCTTGAGTGCACACGGTCGTGTCAATGTGCTGTTAAAGCAAAAGGGGGACAAACACTAAGAAATTCTGAAATTCATTTAAATATGTCACAGACTCTACTCTTCACTCTGATTCATATGCTGATAATATCATTTGTAATGAGACATTTTGAATTTAATTAGAAAAAAAATAGAATAAATAAAAGCATTCACTAGTTTACTAGTATACATTTTTAAACATTAGCCATCATAAATGGTATGTAATTGTACATAACCAGCGCTGTGTTCGCAGAGCGTGCAGCATCATCAAGGACTCCTCCCACCCCAGCCACACACTGTTTAACCACCTCCCATCCAGGAGGAGATACAGAAGCATTCGGGCCAGAACCAGTCGGCTCAGGTCCAGGTACTTTCCCTCCACCATCACCCTGCTGAACTCCACACGACTCCACTAATCTTGTAATATTGCACACAATATTTATTTATTATTTATTATCCCTAGCATTTCCATACAACAGACTGTTCACTGTGCATAGAATACAACACATAACTGCTTACTCTAACAGTACATAACATACTGTATATATTGTGTATATAGTATTGTCTGTGTGTGTGTTATAAATATATATCATATTTATATATCATATTCATAGATATATTTGTAATTGTGTATATATTGTTCATATATTTCATAGATATGTTATATTTATGCCTGTTATTGCACATTTGCACTGTCCGTTTTGCACTAAGGCTACTATTTGCATTTCTGGTGGATGCTAACTGCATTCCATTGCCTTGTACTTGTACTAAGCAACATATATCTGTCTATAATATATTTATAAAGATATATCACATTGGCTTATTAATGCACAAATAAAAATGATGTCACTCTTATCATCTGTGCACAAGCTGAGTCCTTGTGATCTTCCACCCTGGAGAGTTGAGTTCAGGCCCTAATCTAACATTCAGGGCTGTTTGATTCCAGAAATTCTACAGCCGACTCCAAGAGTTGATTTCAAGTGATGGTGCAAGTGAAAACCAAGACATAAACCCCTTTCACATGTGCACTTTTATTCTGGAATTTAACAGTAATTAAATTAAAGCAGGTTAAATGTCAACATAAGCCAGAGTTGAGACTTTGTGCAATTCTCACAAAGTTACCAGAGGTGTGAACAGGAGCTGCTACAGTACTGGGTGAACATGTAACGGATTAGACACTCACGGATGTGAGATAAACCGTAATTGATACAAAAACAGGGTTAACACAAAACCAGATCAACATCCAGCAGAGAAATTCACATGGGAGCGGGCGAACGCACAGTCATAAACAAGCAAGGCTCAAAACCAAGAGATCTAACTAACATGTAAACAAAGCTGATAGCGGAAAATCCGAAAGACGGAAAAAGTGAAACAAAGCAAGGTCAAACACGAGATAAGCAGTAGACAAGAAACCGGCTCTATATGCGCTGATGGAACAGGGTGTGAGAGGAACAAACAACGATGTCTTAATTACGACTGGAATAGCTGAATGTTGCCATAGTGCTTGTTTTTACTGTTTCTTTACTTTTTGCAAGTGAACAACATCACTTGAATACAATTGTAGTGGCATAGTGCTCCAGAGAAGTGGAAAAATCTGCCCCTTGTGCATACAAGGCTGCTACTGCGCAAAAGAGCTGCAGCAATAACATTAACATTTCATATTGTATGTACTGTATGTATTTACATATTGATTGCAAGCAAATATTTTGATACAAATTTTACATTTTAACTTATTTTGTCCAAAGTGAAATACAGACCTTCAGGAGCATCTGCATGTGCTAGGTGTGTGGACCTAAACACTTCAGGGCAGTAGATCACCAGGACCCATCAGGACCTTGTATTACACTCTGCAGAATGTTCTCCAGCCTGAAGAAATAACTAGTGCAGTCTTACGCTGCACCACAATAGGTAGTGTCCAAATGACATACTGTAGTGGACACCAAATACCAATAATGCACTATATGGTTTACACCTGGTGTTTTGTGTGTAAGACAATAGATGTCACTACTGTCCACATAACAATTTTGCATGACCACAGCAAACAAAATTGTTACCTGAATCACATGCTCTATTCCCTATCCACCATATTCATACACCCCCACAATACTTAGAAGATGTCAAATATGGACAGAACTTCTGGCAACCAACTTCCATGACTGAACTGTGGAGTTTTTCTTTGAAAAACTGAAAGTGAGTCTCCTGAAAAGAAAGAAAGCTGTAATAAAGGCAAAGGCCGGACAAACTATTACTAGAAAAATGTGATATTATATTTAGTTATTGAGGCTTCTGTGCCACTGAAGCTTCTTGGTGTGAGGAATCTCATTGGTCAGTCACCCATGAATAAGCACCAGCTATGGTCCTGCACTGAGGAGCTGGAGTCCCAAAGACCCTGTTCAGAGACAGTGTGCTCTAATGGCCTGTCTCCCATTGCTGAGGCCTTTAGGAGCTGTACAGAAGGCCTTCCGCTTCAGATTAACTACCAACATAATTAGGAAGTGAGACAGAAATGTAAAAATCTGAAAAACTGACAGCAAGTAATCTGAAAAAAATGAAAGCTGTGAAAGCGAAGGGTGGACACACTAAATACTGAAAAATTTGAAATAATATTTATTTGTTGACGCTTCTTCTGTTTTGTTTTCTATTAACCCCTTAAAATCTCAGGCTTATTACATACTAAGGTGCACATTTCCACTCCCAGTGTCCAGCACAGTTTGGTAGTTGCCTGACTTAAATAGACCCACTTTACCTGGCAATCAACAGTGTAATCAGGTGTGCTGAATTAGAGCATCTACCAAGTGTCATAAATGTAAATGTTATAAATGTTATTATGAATTACAAACTGTAAAGTTCAGTTCTCTTCTTAAATGTCTGTAACTATAATTTAAAAAACATACATAATCTGACAGCTGCTTTCATTGATTATAAAATAAAGAGCAGTTAGTGAGTGCGTGAGTGCGACATCTCAGTGTCGTGTTACAGTGTAGGAGTTAAAGTAACCATTTCCTGCTCAATTCGAGATTAGATCAGCCATCTCTTCCACAAACCACAGAATCTGTATGAATGCTATTCAAGCAGGGAAAAAACTTTGGTTTGTGACAAGCAAAAAACATGATAGGCTGCTATGATAAGCATTTTTATTAGGTCACAGATGTAGAGAATGTAGAGTATAAAAAACAATAAATAGTCTAGACTTAAATAAACATATAAATAGACAAACACATAACACATATAAATACACAAACACGTAACACGGAAACACAGACACCATGTGTACTTACATATAAATAGATAAGTTAAAAACATCCATGTGAACATATAAAGGCACTGATTTACAATACAAACTAGTTGTTTCTGTGAAGGAAACAACAGCACTGCCATCACTGACATATATCTTACACATTCACATGCCTGGCTTTTGAAGCCTCTCATGCTCCTCCTGGTGTGAGGAACAATCAAGTAGCTTCTGCTGTAGGTGCTTAGAAGTCCATTCGGTTTGGTGGTTATCACGGTGCAAGGGTAATCCAGGATTGGACACTCTTTGGTCACCTGAGATGTTCCCCAAGAGTCAGCACCGGCCACGGTCCTGGACTGAGTTGCCAAAATCCCGAAGGCAGAGTTTGGAAAAAATGTCCCCTAAGGGTCCCTCTCAGGGCCCTGATTTCGAAAGGGTTAAGAGAGTGGGATAGGAAGGATGGGATGCTCTGAGGAAGGGCAGGAGTCAGAGTGTGTTCTGTTTAGATTACCTAAAAATAAAGAGAGAGACAGGTACTTTTAGCTGTGTGTGGATATACATATGTATAGAACATACACTACAGGCCTAAAGTTCGGAGGCAACACCAACAGATTCTCTCATTCAGTTTCTGAAGATCAGATGACCTGAAACAGGTGTTAAATTAGAAGTTTGTAAATACTTAAAAACTGCCCAATATAAAGGGCTGCTATCAAAACGAGTGTGACTGATTACACTATACTTTAGAGTAAAATAGAGTACAATAACAATGTTAGTGTATCACTGCCAACCAACGGAAGATTTTGGTTTGGTTAAATTAGTTGTCAATAAACTTGTGGTGTTGATTTTTGGCACACTGAAATATTTGTACGGGTTTTTTAAACGCTGACAGGGCTTTCTAGGTCTTCAGAGAAGTTCTAATGATGGAAAATAATTCTGGAAAAATAGTTGATTATGTTTAATAGTCTCATCATTATTTTTTTTTTTTTCATTGTTAAGTTTTGACTGGAAACAAAAGGGTTAAAGTCTTGAAATGAAAATTGACCAATACGTTTTTTCCCCCTATGGTGTCTGGGTAGACAGAGCCAAGCTAGCCCACTCATTGGTTAGGCCTTCAGGGGCAAACAGAAGAATCACTTTACATTAACTATCACTTTAGATTAACCACAAAAATTATTAGGAAGTGTCAGAGGAATCAATCAATCACGTTTAGACCTTAAGTGGGACTAATTTTGCTAGGCTTTCTGGATTATGCCAGTAACTGTGAATATGAGGTTATGGATCTTTATTGAATTACTGTAAAGCTGCAACATTCAAAGTCTTTTGCAAGTTTCTGACGTGAGTGTTTCATCTAGAAAGGACAAAAAGTTTTCATGTGACCTAGCATTGGCCTAAAACTAACATACTATTACAAATCCCATAATGGTGCTAGCAGAAATGGGCATTATCATCATTATTTTTTAATGAAACTAAAGGCCTAGCTTCAATAGTCATAGCTTATCGCTGCTTGTAGATATGCATGTATTAATTATGCTTAAAGCATAAACAATAGCTAGCTTAAAATCAGCTAACGTAGGCATAGGCTGGGTATTTTCCATAGTAAATAGTAACAAATGGTTACATTTTGTTCTGGAGGAACAACTGGCCTCTCTATATCTAACACAGCCTTCTGAAAATGAGGGAAACTCCAGTGAAAACTGAAAATTAGTTGATTAAATGACCACAACAAAAGAACCAGAGTTGCCTGCTTCATGATTCCTTGTAGCTCAGTCTGTACTGTTGGTGTTCAGTCTAAACTGAAGCTGTGTAGATGTTCTGCGGGTTGGAGCAGCTGCCTCAGTGACCCAGTGCATGTTCTCAGGAACTACTTCAAACACACGTCTAAAAAACTTTCAGTTTTCACTGGATTTTGGCCGCCTGTTCAGCAGACAGTGCTCAGTGGGCCGTGTCTGTTCTCAGTAAACATGTCTTCCTGTCTCCGAAGGTTATAGACAAACTTCTCAGTTGGTTCATGAAAATGCAAGTTTAAGGGGAAATGATGCTCATCTGTCTTGTGGGAACTCCCACATCTCTTTAGATCTCACCACACACACTCACGCACACACACACACACACACAGACACACACAAGGAGACACGTACGCACCTCTTATGAGGCGCTCTTCCTGTGCGATAAGCATCTGCAGCTCCGCCCACTTTTCGTTCAGCTGCCACTGTGAGCGTGGGGAAAAACACAGCGTTCAGTCAGCACAGATACTCTGCATTTCCCCGAAACAATACACACACACATATATACACACATATAAAGGGGAAAGTACTGTCACTATTAACGCTGAATAATCAGCCACTAAACCAGTAGAGACAGTCTAGAAAATAGAACAGTGACTGCAGGGAAATGCTTACCTCTAGGTGATTTAATTTCTTTTGGAGCTCTTTTTGTTTCACTGTAGTCCCCCTCAGAATCTCCATCCTGTGAAAAACCACAGCAGAAGTCGTACATTATAGGCCAGGCACAGGTCAGCATTCAGAAAAAGCTTTAACCAGCAAATTACCATCATAAAGAAATAAGACTTCCAAGTAATTCTGCGCCATTTTTATTGATCTACTCATCACAAAATGTTCACACAATGTACCACACAAAGTAGTTGTGAGGTTTTGAAATAACAGCGACAAAATACTGCTGGACCAGGCAGAATAACAATGAGGCACACAGAGCCTGCAAATACAAAACCCTCTCATTATTCTAGATAGTTATTAAACTCGAAGGCCTGCATGTGTGGCTCACTCTCATAACTACATAACCTACATTTTACTTTCACAGTAGTTATAATTATAGAATAATAGTTGTATAATGAGTATTGAGATTAATAAGCCTGTAGTTTAAGCAGTTAAACATGTCTTTGTGGTTAAAGAGTCTTACTTTAGAAGACAGGAGGTTTGAATCAGGTCAACAATCTGCTCATGTTCAAAGCCCTCTACACATATGCCATTCACACTCATAATGACATCCCCTACGAGTGAGAGAGAGAGAGAGAGAGAGAGAGAGAGAGAGAGAGAGAGAGAGAGAGAGAGAGAGAGAGACAATGTTATTATTATTATATTAATGTACAAAACAAGGCCACTGAAAATGTCCGTACTTTGCAGCCATATATATATATATATATACACATATATAAATATATATATATATATATATATATATATGTGTATATATATGTAAGCTGTAAGCACCTAACAATTTTGTTTTTTTTGGCTGCAAAGTCAGGACATTTTCAGTGGCCTTGTTTTATATATGCACTTACATGTATGTAATATATATGGCTCATGTGTCAACTATATATAATATTAATATGCCTCTTATTATTTATATTTATGTATCTATAATGGTAGTATGCTCCTTATTGCATGCCTATATATACACATGTGTACTGCATACACATGTAACATACACACATATATACGTATATATATCTCACTGCTGTCAGAAGAAAACCTCATATCTCCATTTTTCTAGTTTTTCAGCTTTTATCATAATTGTTAAATGCCTGTTGCTCTTTACATTTTGTGTAAATATCATGATGAATGAACCAAAAGAAATCACCCACAATGACTTGGAAATAAATCTGATTCCATTGACTTACATTAAAAGTAAAGTAGGTTTTTTCCTTCTTGGAGGAAAAAATTTGGAGGTACGAGGTTTTCTATCATATGTCCTTAAATATATAACATGTGGAGTATACACACTTATACACTTATACACATGTACTACATATGGGGCAATATTATTATTACATATAGGCTTTTACATATATGAAATACAAAAAAGAGGTCTATAAAATGAAGACTGATCCAAAAATCTCACCTGTCCTTAAACCAGCTGTCTCTGCTGGACTGCTCTCCCTCACTGAACAAACACACGTGAACACGTCCTCATCATTGCTGTTAATGTTCTTCTCATTATAAGTCTATATGAGAAAGAGAGAGAGAGAGAGAGAGAGAGAGGGGCAGTTTATTCATCAGTCTGACATACCTAAAGAGTAAAATGGGGGAATATGTCAAAGGTCAAAGAGAACGGAAGGGAAAGAGTGGGATGTGTGACGCGGAGGTTGATGGCTGTGATGAACTCACCCTGATCTCAAATCCGAAAGCTTCACCTTCTTTCTTTGGCACGATGATACTTTCCCTATAAAACACATGCAGACGTGGGCTGAATAAGACCTTTGTTCATGTGTACGTGCACTCTTAGATCAACATCTTTAATGGAACTTAAAATGGTTAAATGCATGAATGTAATAAATCAGTAAATGTAACTCTGTTACCTTTTGGAGTCATGGCTCTGGTGATTTATCTGAGTTTGCAATACCTGAGAAAACACAGTGAACTCAGTGTTAGAATCTTTCAAAATTTGAGTCGAATTTCAGTTCAGTGGAGTCAAACTATGCAACCCTTTGCATATTTGAATAGTGCATGTAGGCACTTATATGTGTAATACGTATGAAGCATTTTTATTATTATTACATATAGTCATTTACATATATACATAATACACACGGTTAAGTATATACATATATATATATATATATATATATATATATATATATATATATATATATATATATCGCTTGACAGATGAGGTGTTGTCAGAAGAAAACCTCCAAAATGGTAATTTTACAGGAGAAGGAAAAAAACCTATTTTACTTTTAATGTAAGTCAATGGAACCAGATTTTTTGCCAAGTGATTTTGGGTCATTTCTTTTAGTCAATTCATCATGAAATTTTCATACATTGTAAAGAGTAAAATGTTTTTTCAAATGATGTCAAAAACTGAAAAACGTCAAAAATGGACTTACAAGGTTTTCTTTTGACAACAGTGATACGTATATATATATATATATATATATATGATATTGACATAATATGTAATATATGTAATGGACACAGAACATCACTATTAGATATTGGTACTCTATGTTGGTGTGTTTGTCTATATACAGCTCACACACATATTATACATGAAGCATTATTATTATTACATATAGGCACTTACACATAGGCAATCCATATTGTTACATATACATAATTACATATTATTATTATTATTATTGTTATTATTGTTATTTTACATACAGGTAATTACATACATATGATACATACAAGATATTATTATTATACATAGGTACTTAAATATATATTTATATAATGTATATAGTTCATATTATTATTACACATGTGAATTTACATAAAATAAATATATATAATAGTCATAGCTTAAAATATATAATAATGCTTAAGGAGCATTATTAGCGTTAAATATAGGCTCTTTCCTTCCTTGGTTCAGTCAAACTCTTAATCTTAAAATCCATAAGCACAAACACAGAATCATAAAATTCACTTAAACAGTCCAGTGGAGTCTAAACTTCGCAAACTTTTTTGATCACCGCATATTTGAATAGTGTAAATTCAAAGCATCGTTTCTCTCAGTGCGGCTGATATCTTCATAGCTAAACAAATACAGTTTGTCTGTGTTGCTAATGGCTCACCGTGTGTCTCTGTCCCTCTTTGCTTTTTAAGTAGTTCTTGTTAGCTGGTTTTCGTCTGGAAAAAGAATCCGCAAGGCTTCCTTTCCTGATCAGCTTTTTAATGTAGGTGATAGAGGAGCTCATTCTTCACCAGTGGACTCACACATGTGGGAGGAAGAGAGTCTCTGTCGACTTCTTTCATAACTTCAAAAAAGGAAATCACATGATCAGAGTGAAATCCCGCAGGGCGCAGGGTGTGAAAACTGCTACAGAAGTATTACTGGAAACTGCGCCACTGTGTTCGACCAAACAAAAAAATTACCTGGCATCAAAATTTACCTGCTTCCCATTAGCATGTTCTCATTTACCAGATCAAACCCATTTAACAGGCACTTGTTTGTCATGTATATTGACTGCTGTTGTTTATTTTATACACATATACACACACACATATGTGTATATATATATATATATATATATATATATATATATATACATATATATATATACATACACACACACACACATATATATATGTGTGTGTGTGTGTATGTGTATAAAATAAACAACATATATATATATATATATATATATATATGTGTGTGTGTGTGTGTGTGTGTACAGACATATACACACATATAAATATTGTTTTTTCAGAAGAAAACCTCGTATCTCCATTTTTGATGTTTTTCAGTTTTTGACATATTTTGAAAATACCTGTTACTCTTTACATTGTATGTAAATTTCATGATGAATGGACCAAAAGAAATGACCCAAAATGTCTGGTTCCATTGATTTACATTAGAAGTAAAGTAGGTTTTTTACTTCTTCTTTAAAGTTACCATTTTGGAGAGGTTTTCTTCCGACAACAGCGATATATATATATATATATATGGTAGGCAGTTTTGCATAATGTATATTCATGGTTATTGTTTATTATGAACATTATATATGATTTTGCAGTTGCAGTTTTCAGTCATGCCTCTTTGAGCAGTTCGTTGTACGTTTTTTCATCTCAGCACACCAGCTGCTTTTGCACCATGTGAACATTTCATCATAAATAGACCCGACATCTTCACATCTGGACCTTTAATCTAGTTTCCGGTCCTAGATTTCTAGTCACTGATAGGTAGTGCTGTGAATTTAACCATCACCCCCACCCACCCAAAAAAAACACAATATGAAACAAGAACAACATGAAAAAACACAGGCCAGTTTTAAATGATCATTTCATTTATTGAAGAAAAATAACACCTACAGCACCCATGTGAAAAAATCCCTCCAACAAAAATGAATTACTGTTTATACCACTCTTTAGCAGCAACAACTGCAACTAAATTCTTCCTGTAGTTGGAGATCAGGCTCTTTTCAGTCATGTCAATTGGCTCAGTTCACCAGCATGGACTGGCTCCATCAGCTGTCCATTCAAAAGCATTGCCAGTTTTTCCAAACTCAGCCAAAGTGAGCAATATTACGACCCATGAATCTTTGTATGTGTCTATTCACATCTTAAACTGTTAAACAACATCACACCCAACCACCTAATGAACAAAATAACATTATATTGTGTGTTGTTTGTTCTAAAAACTAATATGCAAATTGTTTCGCTTTCATTCTGCATCATTTTGTAGCAAAGTGAATAATGAGATATTCAAGTTTAAGATATTTGATATTTCTTCCTTCTGATTGTCTGATTCCTTCTAGATGTCTGCAGTTCCGTTCATTTTTCTTAACGTCATTATGCGGCAACGTGTCGCAACATGTGTCGCAACATGTGTCACAACGTCAACATGCAACAGCATAATGTTGCAAGTTTAGCAAAGGAAAGACGTTGTTTGCTGTTTTTTGTATTCCTTTAATTAAATCCAAGGCTATGGCTGTTTATTGCATGTGTTCCCAAAGCAGTGCACAATGCACTACACAATATCTTCATAATAAGCAGCAATGCACTCTGCTAATGCTGTTTATTCTCTGCACAGGTGAAAGTCAAATGAGTGTCTCACCATTCTTGCTAGATTTGACTCTAGACATGAAGTCATATACAGACAAGAAGTCTCACTGGTGCACTTCAAACAAGCGCCAACGTTCACCTAATAAAATCCAGCTCAAAGAGTCATTCTGGAATGACGCGTCACTAGGCCAGTCAGTTACAACAGTTCAGTTAAAGGAGAATTCCAATTTTCCAGAAATTCTGCGTAATTTATTGAGATATAAATAATGTTTGAAATGTTTTTATGTGAAATTGTTGATTGTGAAGAAACTCTCAGATTTCTTTACAGTGGTGGTGAAAGGAACCAGGAATTGAGAGGTCTACAATACGAAAACAGGCATTTTATTTACTACCCAAAACCACCAGTGAACCTACACAGGTCCTCTCAGTTTTTATATGTAGTGTTGATCACGGTAAAATGGTGGTAACTCAAACTATATGGCTACCATTTTGCATGTACCACTCTGTCATGAATGAGTTAAAAAATAGGTCAAAACTTTGTCTCCAAACTATTAAAAACAAAGTGTCAATCATCAGGCAGTGTGTCTATGCTCATTTTATGTGATAGCTTTCTGTGAGGGAGCTTTTAGAGGTGTTACTTCTGTTGCTTCAGACATCTGGTTCCTGTCACCACCACTGTGAACAATTCTGCCTTGATAAGTTTCTCTAGAGTGTTTCACATCAGACTACTCTGAATGACTTTGCTTTCATCCTAATCCACAATGACCGAATTATGCAGAACTTCTTTTGAAATTTGATACAATTCTCCTATAACTGTCAATGATTTTAAAATCCAGCTCCAAGTTATTTGTAATAAAATCCTGGTACATTAACTTACAATAAAATGTAAAAACATTTTTTCTTTCTCCTGCAAAGTCTTATTGACAAATGAGACAAAGATCAACTTGTACCAGAATGATGGGAAGAGAAGAATATGGAGAAAGGAAGGAACTGCTCATGATCCAGAGCACACCACTTCATCTGTCAAGCATGGTGGAGGTAGTGTTATGATGTGACTGCTGACAAAGCTGCAGGATAGGATGAATTCTGAAGTGTATACAGCTATATTTTCTGCTCAGATTCAGCTCAATGCTTTAAAACTCATTAGACAGCGATTCACAGTGCAGGGACTGTGACCTGAAGCATACCACAAAAGCAACCCAAGACAATTTTAAGGCAAGTCAGGACTGCAAACGATTTGCAATTAAGGATTAAAAATGACAATTAAATTTATGATTATGTAAGTTGGTCCAATTACTTTTGAATTTAAATATATGTAATAGTTTCAATGTTTAATATTTACATATATGTCAAACATAAATGGGTATATTACAAACTTGACACAAATTGTGAAAAATATATATTTCTTTGGCATATCGGTCTAATCCTATGGAGCTGACATGGTGACATGGTGATTATATTTCAATAACGCGTGATCATGAATTAATATGCTGCGGCCATACAAATTATTATGTTGAGGCCAGGAGCTGATTTTCTCATAACGTCTGGCCACAATATATTAATTTATGACCTCAATATTGTAAATTGTGGCTTCAATGTATACATTTGTGGTCTAAATATAATAATTAATGGCCTAAATGTAGTAATTTATTACCTCAATATAGTAAATTGTGTTCTCAATACAGTAAATTGTGGCTTCACTATAGTAAATTGTGGCTCAAATATAGTAATTTGAGGCCTCAATATAGTAACTTGTGGCCTCAATATAGTAAACTGTCTCAAATATAGTAATTCGTAGCATCAATATAGAAACGTGTGGCTTCAATCTATTAATTTGTGGCCTCAATATAGTATATTGTGGACTCAATACAGTAAATTGTGGCCTCACTATAGTAAATTGTGGCTCAAATATAGTAATTTGAGGCCTCAATATTGTAATTCATGGCCTTAATACAGTAAATGGTGTCCTCAATAGAGTAAACTGTGTCTCAAATATAGTAATATAGTAACATAGTAACTCGTGGCCTCCATTTATTAATTTGTGGCCACGCCTTATTCAGAAATAATCACCATGTCACCTTAGGGCCTCCGTACTGATATTTTCAGTTGATTCTGAATACTGATCCGCAGTTGTATTTAAGTCCAGCCCTCTTGTGCGTAAGAAGAAGAAGCCAACGCTGAATTACGTAAGCCAAACGTGAAGCGTTGCTCCTTTTCCAGCATGCGGCGCCCGTCAGCCTGACGACCCGCACAGTGTCATCTGGAGGAGAAGAAGCGGAGCGGAGGCGCATCGGGAGGAGACGCAGCGTTAAATCCTGCCGCGGCTGAAGGAGGTTAGATTTTTTAAAAAATATGTTCAAAGAAAACGACGCATGTGTGATCTACTGTATCCGCAGATATTTCTTATTAAGCCTCCACATCATCCGTATTTCAATATGTCGTGTTTTTGTAGATGAGCTGCAGAAACCCTCGCAGAGGACGCTCGTTAGCGTAGTTAGCCCAGTTAGCTTTAGCTTTAGCTTTAAAGTGATGCTGCTTTTGTTACCAGGCGACCAGCATCGAGCCGCCCCGCAGAAACAGAGCTTAAAATATGAGATGCACGTTAATTTTATACGAGTATATACGGACAACAGCGTTTTAAAAGGTTGACCAAAATGTTACGAAGCTGAAAGACTGTCGGTGCAGCGCTGAAATCACTAAATGGTAACTGTTTCGTTAGCATTTAGCTGTGTGACGGCAACTAAAACCATAGGAACCAAACCCAGTGAGAGGAACCCGAGCAGCTCTCTGTGGTGGGATCATGGCTGGGGGAGCAGGAGCTCCAATATAGTGAGAAAAACTGATTTAAAGCATAAAACCATGACTACTTTTAGAGGGAAGCCTGTCTGTACGGTCATATCAGCTGTAACGTTAAAAGCCGCTCCTTGTTTCTACGCTCATTGTCCATTTTATCAGCTCCACTTACTGTATAGGTGCACTTTGTAGTTCTACAGTTACAGACTGTAGTCCATCTGTTTCTCTGCATACTTTGTTAGCCCCCTTTTACCCTGTTCTTCAATAGTCAGGACCCCCGCAGGATCATTCTCAGCACTGCAGTGACACTGAAGTGATGCTGGTGTGTTGTGCTAGTACAAGTGGATCAGATGCAGCAGTGCTGCTGGAGTTTCTAAACACTGTGTCCACTCACTGTCCACTCTATTAGACACTCCTGCCTTGCTGGTCCACCTTGAATATATAATTCAGCCTTTGAGCTAGAGTGAAAGTCCAGTGCAGTCATGTGATCACAGTCTACTAGTAGGGGAATTTTGCCTGTTTGTAATGTATTTTATAATACAAACAAAGCATTTCCATTTGGTTTATACATCATATTTTAATAGTACTGGACATCCACACTGATATGAAGCATTCAAGTTTTAACAGTCAAGATTCCCTTTAAAGCTTAAGACGTTAAGTCTGTAGAAGTTGTGTCAACACATACAGGTTCCTAACAGCTCCTAAATCTTTTATTGTGCAGTTTATGACTGAAAATGCTGGGAAAAAAACTGTCGACATCAGGTGCCTGTCTTTAATGACCTTATATACACTTAGTTTGGAATCACCGGTCATTAATAATTGTTGGTGTTTGATTCAGTAGTAAATTATAGATTGAAAGTGTACATTCAGATATTGTAGACACCAGAAGCTATTTTGAAAAGGTTTATTCAATATCATGTTATTTTGGGAATAACAAGGTTATTTTATCTGCCTCAAGATTTGAGCGCTTTTCAATTTTTTAGTTATTATCAAATCATCCACAGCTCTGTTCATCATTCTTCTTTTTCTTTTTTGAAGTTAAACAGTATCACATTAGAATCATTTTACACATGTATGTGCTACAAAATGTGCTGGGTTATTGTAATTGTAAACAATGCTTTAAGCCTTTAAAAGGTAGTGTATCTAACACTAGTACATCTGAGTTGATTTAAAAGCTAACTATTGTGCCTTGAACTCCAGCAAGAGCAAATTCTTAACCTGCAACTTTGTCTTATTTCTTCTTTACAGCAACCTCTACAGTAAACCTCACACGTCAAACATGTCTGCCGAGCCCAACTATCGCCGAACTAAACCTGGTAGGTTATTCCCTTTGAAAGGAAAGGTTATGATATGATTATTAAGAGCCTACCACATAATATTTTCCATTTACTGAAAGGGTCCTTCGTTTATGGCAGATCTGAGGGGAGTGTCCAGTCATTGGTTTTAGGAGGAGTAGTTGTAATCACAAACGCCATAACATTCATATTAGACATATTGTAACTTTAGAGTCTAGTACACCCCACCCCCACCTCCCCAGGGCATATATTCTGAAAATCTCTTACTCAGACATCCAATTAAAAAGATTTGGACATATTCTAATAGATTTTTTGTTCAAAATAAGGTCAAAGAATTACACTTTTATTCATGTGATGTATTACTGAACAGATGTCTTAATGTTCTCATTAACTGCTCTTTTTGCTTAGATCTACATGAGCTTTTGGAACATTTATGCTTTAAGTGTAATTTTGTTTCCTGTTTAAGATTGAGATTATTATTTTCTCAACTTATAACAAGCTTATTGGTATTAATGACTGCATGGTATGGCTTTTATTTTGTAATACAGGTGGTAAATATATGGATGATGCTAGAAAATTATCACTCTTTGGGAAATATTATATTCATAAGTGTCGAGTGGTCAAATAAAGAGATTTGTATGTACCTTTTATGTGTACATATAAGTCTCCTGTATGAATTATTAGCAAAAAAAGCTACATTTGCCTCTAGATTTCTAATCACTATCTTACCTGCTAATGAGTAAATGTGAAATGTCCCTCCTTTTTGGATGTTTTTTTTTTTCCTTTTCTCTCATTTTATTCTTTTATTATTGGATTTTATTGGATATATTGGATAAATTGTGAATTTATCACAATTTTCCTGTGTGCAGTATAATCAATACTTCATGTGCAATACATGTAAAATATCTCTATAGTGTACAGTTATTTGTAATTGTATTGTTAATTTTGGTGGATAGAGTTTATATTTTTTATCTTATATTTTTTATATTTAGTATAATGTACATCGATCAGGCATAACATTATGACCACCTCCTTGTTTCTGCGCTCACTCTCCATTTTACCAGCTCCACTTACTATATAGGTGCACTTCGTAGTTCTACAGTTACAGACTGTAGTCCATCTGTTTCTCTGCATACTTTGTTAGCCCCCTTTTACCCTGTTCTTCAATGGTCAGGACTCTCATGGACCCTCACAGAGCAGGTACTATTTGGGTGGTGGATCATTCTCAGCACTGCAGTAACACTGATGTGGTGGTGGTGTGTTAGTGTGTGTTGTGCTGGTACGAGTGGATCAGACACAGCAGTGCTGCTGGAGTTTTTAGACACTGTGTCCACTCACTGTCCACTCTATTAGACACTCCTACCTTGTTGGTCCACCTTGTAGATGTAAAGTCAGAGATGATAGCTCATCTGCTGCTGCACAGTTTGTGTTGGTCCTCCTCTAGTCCTTCATCAGTGGTCACAGGACGCTGCCCACAGGACGCTGTTGGCTGGATATTTTTGGTTGGTGGACTGTTCTCAGTCCAGCAGTGACACTGAGGTGTTTAAAAACTCCAGCTGCCCATGCTGTGTCTGATCCACTCAGACCAACGCAACACACACTAACACACCACCACATCAGTGTTACTGCAGTGCTGAGAATGATCCACCACCCAAAGAGTACCTGCTCTGTGAGGGTCCATGAGGGTCCTGACCACTGAAGAACAGGGTAAAAGGGGGCTAACAAAGTATGCAGAGAAACAGATGGACTACAGTCTGTAACTGTAGAACTACAAAGTGCACCTATATAGTAAGTGGAGCTTAGAAGGAGCGTAGAAACAAGGTCATAATGTTATGCCTGATCGGTGTATATTGTCTGTATAGGAACAAGTAACAAACTGTAATCTTGTTAAGTAACTAACAGGGTTAATTATTCTGTTTGTTACTTCTCTTCTTGTTACTTCTTTTCTTGAGCACTTTACTTTGCTCTCCCTTTGCTGCTGTAGCACTGTGAATTTCCCCGTTGTGGGACTAATAAAGGATTATCTTATCTTAACCATGCTGATTATTATTATTATTATTATTATTATTATTATTATATATAGTTTTGGTTTGCAGCTTGTTCCCAGATCTGTTCTTTATTTGCAAATCGTTCACTGTCATTGTAGGAATGAGAACCAGCATTCCTAGCCCAAATGGTGCAGCTGGTCCCTCATCACAGATTCCTGGTTTATCACAAAGTGCCAACACCGCACCTGAGGAGAAAACCAAAGGGCGACGAGTAGGGATTCAGGCCTCTGATTCAGACTACGTTAAACTGGCAAAGCAAGGAGGACACAAGGGTAAATGATTCCTTTTTTGGACCACCTCAGATAGTTTACTTATATGTTTTCATGTCTGACATGTTGTAATGTTTTTTTTTGTTTGTTTTGTTTTGTTTTTTTTCCTGATCAATTTTTTGTTATAGGTTTATTGTCTCATGATGCTGATGAGGATGCTGATGCCAAGTCCAGCTCACTCAGCCGCCCTGACTGGTTTGATGGTCAGCAAAGGTGAGATTTAATACTTGAAATGCCCCTGTCCTGTAAAATTGGTCAACAGGCATGATTGTGTTTGGAGTAAGATTAGAAATGGAATATTGGACACTTACAAATTCTGGGCAAGGAGGCTCATTATAGGTGGTACAAATGTGTTTATAGGGTTTTTGCGCATGCTGTACACTGAATGTTTATTAATGCAAATTATTTGGTTTGTATACACACAGTTTGCAGATGTGAAGCACCTCAGGGACCTTGCTTGTAACTCACTCATGCACTAACTCACTCACATTTAGCAGGCTGAAGATTCTCCACACTCATATACACACATATTAGCACTCAAATAGCCTTCGATGCTTCTTAAGAGTGGTGCTTCGCATTAATGACCCTGTGTGCCCTTGTTTGAGGATCACTTCAGTCCTTTTATTCAAGGTGCATTATTACAGGCATAACTTTTCTTGCACAGTTGTATGGAAATGTTTGGTCAAATAACATGTTGATTTTCTAAGTGAAAATAAGTGAACACCTCCTTTACAGAGAACACACCTCTACATTTTGGTGCACAATTACCGTTTATATGCTATATCTAACATATTAGGGAAAAAAGTGGCCTGTGCAAAGGTTGTGACACATTATATACACTGATCAGACATAACATTATGACCACCTCCTTGTTTCTTCGCTCACTGTCCATTTTATCAGCTCCACTTACTATATAGGTACACTTTGTAGTTCTACAATTACAGGCTGTAGTCCATCTGTTTCTCTGCATACTTTGTTAGCCCCCTTTTACCCTGTTCTTCAGTGGTCAGGACCCTCATGGACCCTCACAGAGCAGGTACTCTTTGGGTGGTGGATCATTCTCAGCACTGCAGTAACACTGATGTGGTGGTGGTGTGTTAGTGTGTGTTGTGCTGGTACGAGTGGATCAGACACAGCAGTGCTGCTGGAGTTTTTAGACACTGTGTCCACTCACTGTCCACTCTATTAGACACTCCTACCTTGTTGGTCCACCTTGTAGATGTAAAGTCAGAGATGATAGCTCATCTGCTGCTGCACAGTTTGTGTTGGTCCTCCTCTAGTCCTTCATCAGTGGTCACAGGACGCTGCCCACAGGACGCTGTTGGCTGGATATTTTTGGTTGGTGGACTGTTCTCAGTCCAGCAGTGACACTGAGGTGTTTAAAAACTCCAGCTGCCCATGCTGTGTCTGATCCACTCAGACCAACGCAACACACACTAACACACCACCACATCAGTGTTACTGCAGTGCTGAGAATGATCCACCACCCAAATAGTACCTGCTTTGTGAGGGTCCGTGGGGGTCCTGACCACTGAAGAACAGGGTAAAAGGAGGCTAACAAAGTATGCATATAAACAGATGGACTACAGTCTGTAACTGTAGAACTACAAAGTGCTCCTATATAGTAAGTGGAGCTGATAAAATGGACAAGGAGCGTAGAAACAAGGAGGTGGTCATAATGTTATGATTGATCTGTGTATATGGTGACAGAATTTAATATTCAGCACCAAACATGCTGAATGTCTGAGTTACCTTTCATGCATGGCACACTGTATATGTTTCCTGAACAATGTTTGAAGGTAAGGCCAATTGACACTCTCCAGTCTGGTGGCCTGTAAGGCTGGGCTAGTGTCACAGTGATTTTGTGCTTACAGCCAAGGTAAAGCAACCTCGCAGAGGCTGGTGGCCCCGTTTGGGACTGATGACTGTTCAGCATGGGACAAGGAATCAGATGATGCTGAAAAAAGACAGGTGAAAGGAGCAGCCGCGTCAGTGCCACCATTCTGCATCCCATTCTTTCTTTACCGAATCCCCTCTCATGCTCTCTCCTGCACCCATGTCATTCACAGCCTTTCAGTTACAGTCTCCATGTGGTGAATCATTTTAAGGATTTTTTATTTGCCTGCCTGTTTGATTTGTTTTGCCATAACAAAAACAATCTTGATTCTCGTTTATTACCAGTTCTTCAGATTTTTATTTGTTTTTTTGTTTGTGTGATAGATTTTTCCCGTCTTTGAATGTGTTCAAATGATAGATTTGCTATCAACTAATCTTTTATTTCCACATTTTGAAACAAATCCAGGGTTGGCTGGTGATTTATTTTTTTCTTTCTGTTTAATCACGTAGACTGATACAGCATAGTACATTCATAATATATCTGTATATGTAACGACTATGTAAGTAGAGTCTTTAGATGACAAATTACTGTCTGGTTTATTGTCTAGTACTGAGCTTGTCTTTTAGAGTTGTTGGCTTCAGTATTCTAATGCTTATTATTGGATGTTGTGCCAATAAGCAAGATACTCTGTTCCTCACAGGGTGTGAAAAAGCTTCTACATTAGTTTTATCTCATCCCAACTTATCCAGCCCATGAGACAGTAATCTACGTCATTGTGTAATGGGATTCAGTGGAAGTGGACAGTCTGTTCCACATGCATCATTTCACAATGGGAGCATAATGAATAATGAACCTTAATCAGTGTCTATTTTAAAGCTTTTTTGCTGTTATTTAATTTATTTTTTCTGATGTTTTTTCCTACATTTGAATTGCATCCTATGGCTGTTTTTTTTTTTTTAAAAATGTCTTTGCTTATTGTGATTGTGTCTAAAGCATATTAAGCATTTCATCTCCATCACACTTTAATCATAGCTTCTTTCAAAGGGAAAAACAGATACTAGAATGATAGATATCTCTTCTGTCCTGCAGAAACCAAAGGTCAGCCATGCTACCAAGGACATGGAGAAACTCTCCTTAAACCAGAAGGACATTGAGGAGACCAACAAGTATAAAAGGAGGTATGTATCGTAATTTTTACGTTTCCATAACCCCAGATTTACCAGGTCTTCGTCAATAATCCAGTTCATTCCTTGAAAAGTTAAGGGTTTTTTAAGTTACTCTTATTAGTTCTACAATGGGGAAATTTCACCTCTGCATTTAACCCATCCGTGCAGTAAAAACACCCACATACACACTAGTGAATGTACACACACTAGGGGGCAGTGAACATGCTTGCCCGGAGCGGTAGACAACCCTATCCACAGCACCCAGGGAGCAGTTGGGGGTTAGGTGCCTTGATCAAGGGCACTTCAGTCATGTACTTTTAGCTCAGTGAATCAAACCAGCAACCTTCCAGTCACAAGGCTGGTTCCCTAACCTCCAGCCCACGACTGCTACCTCCAGCCCACAACTGATACTGTGTTCAGTTTTTACAAAATCCAACACCCTGAAAGAGTGATATGAAATGCTAAATCTAGTTTATAGTGTACATTACATTTTTTTGCATTACATTTTACCATGCAGGTCACATGATAAGAAGACCACAGCTCCTGTCAGCATGTCCAAGCTGTTGAGCTTTGGTTACATGGAGGATGACATGAAGTCTCCAGATGATGATGCCTCAAGTAAGATGCCTTGTTTTAGATCAGTGTGGGGATATAAGGAATGCTGTTATATTTACAGCGTTTATTGTCAAAAATACAGCCTAATGAGCGCAGCCCAGTGAAGGCCCAGGAGATGCCCTACATCTCCATGAGGAAGTTTTTTTTAGTAGTTGGGTTCTGGTAGCACTCTGACACGTTTGAGCTTTCAGTTTGATCCACAGCAGGGATGTCAAACTAGGTTTCTTTTTGGCCACAGCTCTGGAGAGATGAGCATTTTCCTCTTCCGAATTCAACTAATAAATGCCTTGCTAATTAGCTGATGGGTTGAATCAGGTATGTTTAATGAGAAAGAATGCCAAAGCCTGCAGTGCTGTGCCCCAGATGGAACCCAGTTTTGACACACCTGCTGCACAGTTTCAGTCTGGCAGTTTATCATATAGAGTATGTTCTGCTATAAACTTGGCTAGACTAGTCATAAAAAGCCAAAAGCCTAATGGGAGATGCCTTTTTGCCTTTTTACGGAACCAAACAATTCTATCTTTTTATAACTGCTATCCTTCTGTTTTATACTGTATTTTAGGGATGCACTGAATTTTCGGCCACCGGAAATGTTTGGCTGGAAATGGGGCAAAAGTGGCTTTCAGTTTTTGGCGGAAAGTGAAAATAAGACAAAGTTTTGTCCAGAAAAAAAACAAAAAAGATTAAATAGGTCTACAACGAAAGTCGGTATCTAACACTTAACAAATTATTTGAAATTAAATGGTAATGAAAATGAGAAATAGGGAAAAAACACTGCTTGTTCCCTTTAAATTCCTGCGCAGGTCAACACAGACATGTTCAAACAATTTGAGCAGTAGCAGATCAACACTGAAACCCCCAAACCTAGTCCACTGTAGCTTAGATCTATGTTGTATGTTTTTTTTTTGTTTTTTTTTAATTCACTGATTTAAACAGTCTTTAATGGAAATTACATATTAAATAATATGATATTGTATAGCTCAGCATCTTTTGATAATAAACAATTTTTTATGAGGCACAGTATCGGCCTGATACCGATATTGGTATCGATGCATCTCTAATGTTCTCCCTAGAAATCTGTTGACCAATAGAAATGGAGATGCTTTAGAGCAGCTGCACATGAACCTTATCATGCCCATTGCCAAGCATCAAATAGAGTGGTATAAAGCCCCCCAGAATTAGGCTGTAAAGCAGTGGAACTCACTATTGCTCTTGTGGTTGAATACAGTCAGTTCTTCACAGCAATGTTCACACATCTAGTGTGAAGCCTTCCCGAAAGAGTTAAGGCTGGTACTGCAGCAAAGAGGGACAAACTCCCCATTAATACCTTTTAATTCAGAAGAAACACCAGATATGCAGATGTCCACAAACTTTTGTACGTGTAATGTATTAGATGAGAATTTGCAGAATGGTTTGAAACAGTGTGTCTTCTGTGTTTTAGGTATGACCTCAGAGCAGACCAGCACAATTGCCCCAGAGGATGAGCTGGAGTAGGTACAGAAGGAGAAGGCAGCTTCCACTAGAGTCGTGCAGGTGGCCAACCCACCATTCCCCATCCTTTATTCTTCCTATTTATGCAAGGTTCTTTTAGTCATCGTTATCTTTTGAAGTCATTTGTGTCATGCTTACATATCTAATGGTGCTTGTGGTCTTAAAATTTCTAAGCCCCTTCGAAATGACGTGTTATTTGTTGCAAACACAAATAGAAGCCACACTATACCTGCAGCACAGAGTTAGGCCTTCTAGGCACTGATGCAGCCATTGGCCCAGGTTTTCATTTTTCATACATTTCACTGCTTGAGGATGTGCTAAAATAATTTCTTTTTCTTTATTTTTTTTAGATATTTATTTATTTATATTTTTCTACTGACAAGAACGCATAATCTACTTATATATCCGACACAGACGTGCTGCAGCCACAGGCAGATTCCGACTTTTTTCCGCCTCTCATTTGGAAACACATGCCGAAAAACATGTGTGCCGATATTTAGTCCTCATCACTGTCATTACTGCACTAGAAATGGGATGAAAGTGTGTGTCAAGACTTTTCAGGGGGTTCAGGGAGTTTGCGATCGTGAATGTCTTGTTGTTCAATATTGTTTTCGGTGTGATGGTAAATACTTTTTTCTTAGATTCAGGTTCAGTAGATGTGCTACGCTGAGTTTAACTCTGTATGGGTTTTTCTCTCCTTAAACCATGTTTACAGTTACTGTCAATTAATGTTGACTATTGATAGCTGAATAAATATGCATGTGCATGGAAATCGGTTTGTTCTGGAGCCTTTTGTTCATTTTCTTTTTTTTTTTGGTGGTGATGCATCCGCGTTGCTCAAAAAGTATAAGCTGGATATAAAGCCTATAGGCTGATTTCCCAGACGAAGAAAGGGGAATTCCACTAATGTTTCAAAATTTTGGCATAATTAAATTAAGATATAAACAAAGTCGTTCAGAGTGGTTTGATGTGAAATGATCCGTTCTCTGACGGAATTTGCTCACAGTGGTGGCGATAGAAAGCAGACGTCTGAAGTGTTTAATGACTCTAAAAGCTGCATTGCAATTTTATTTCATGAAATGGTTCTGAATGCATTAGTGGATTTCTAAGACATTGGCAGTGACCGAAATGAATCTCTGTTTGTGTTTCAGGGCACTAATGAGCTCGCCAGCTATTTTTCTCTTAGTAAAATCGTTGAATGGTATTCCAGAGTGATTTTTGTGGGCACTACAGTCTTCCAAAATGTACTCATCATTTCTGCTGAGCACCATAGAGCACCATAGTTTTTGTGCTTTTCTCCTGGTCCTTGTCCTCCACAGTTTTGTTTTTGTTTTGTCCATATCTATGTCCATAGCCCAGTCCAAAAAGGCGTGCTGAGCCCCCGCAGCCATCCTCAGAGTTCACACTTTGCATCTCAATGACTGAAAGTTAGGTTAGTTAAGCTGAAAGTTTGAAAATTCAGTGGATTCCCTTTTAAGCCTAGATGAAAAAAAGGATTTTCACTGGTGATTCACTACTGACGTCACAATTTAGACCAGCTATGTAGGTTAGATCCTCCTTCTTTAAAGAGATCAACTAAAACTGTCAAATAAAAATGTATTTGTACACAAAAAAATATGTTTAAGTGTTAAAATTGAAGAGTTGGAATGGAATAGAAAGAGATGGAATAGAAAGTCTGGCTCTCAGTAACAGTTTTTCTACATGCACAGTAGAATTGATTAGTAGATTTTCTTTTAATGTAGCTTTACTCCAGGGTGAGTGAACAGCCACCGTTTCTCCACAGTCTCTCTTTTAATTACTCTCCAGCTTTGCACTCCTATGTTTTGTTTCTCTTGGGCTTACTCAGTGTACCCACAGAGTCACAGGGGGCAGTGCAGCACAAACAACTGCAGTACAAGCTGTACACTGGCTTTCAATTGCTGCATGGTCTTGTAGGATCTGCTGCTTTTTTGTGTGTTGTGATGGAAGGTGTCTAGTAATCAGCACAGTCATACATCCTCAGCACTTGGCAGTGTTGGAAATGGAAAAACATGCATATTTACCTAAAGTTTTACTTAATTTTTTACTGGAAACTGCACTGTATATTTTTTTGTTTTAAAGAAGTAGTGTTGCAGAGTCAGGAAAAATAAACACACAAAGATAGTGTGCGTACGCTGCTGCAATTCATCCTAGAGAGGTGGAGAATTCTGGTCCTGGAGGGCAGCGTTCCTTCACAGTTTGGTGGTTTTTCTGATCAAGCACACCTGATTCAACCCATCAACTAATTACCAGGTTTGATTGGTGTGTTAGGGCCAGGAATAGGCCTGAGTGGTATCTAAAAATAATTAGCACCATATTTTCTAGCTTAAAAAATCGTGAATCTGTAATATTTGTTTTTTCATCCATCAATGTTCTCTCACTACAATATCCAGCACACATTACGGTCCTCATTAGAAAGGTGGGGGGTGGTGACTGGAGAAAGAGAAGGGGGGGGAAAAGCAATACTGACTGCTAGCGTAGCTACTGATGTAGAGGCTAATAAGTACAGAAGGATTGTTTGGCTTCCTAGCAGTAATGGACAATATTACAGAAACTTCCTATACGCAGACGTAAGTTAAGGTCTGGCAAAGTGAAGATAAGATTTTTCACAAATTGGTATTACTGAAGCAAATCTCAATTTAGGGATGTTATCTTATTTACAGCATCTTATCTCAAGTTAGGAAATCCTGAACGATCCTGTTGCCATGCCACTGACGATAGAATACTGATTATGAACACAATAAAAATAATGGCAAAAATGTAATTAGCTAGACAGCTAAAAAAATGTCAATGCAAAACTAACATGATAAACTGAAAGTTTAATAATATTCTTACTGTGTCGGCTGCTGTTTGGCAGAGCATTGCTGCTCCTCAGTTTCAGTTTCCTTTTCCCACAGCTTTAGCTTTAGCAGTATTTCTCCTAATAAACAGCCACACATTCATATCTGTCTTCTTATTATACACTGTCATCGCTGTAATATTTTTTTTGGTGAGTTTTCATAAACATTAACACACAAAGATAAAATGGAGGAGTGGGAGAATGTGTCTGCAGTGTCTGGGATTTTTGAACTACAGGGTTAGAAACAACACCTTCAAGAAGCATCATCAGCAGTGGGTTTTTCTAGTCTTTAAACCAGAAATTCTCACTCAGACTGCTGCAGCACCACTGTACAATGTGAGTAGGCTTGTTCACAACAGATGAAGCAATGGCTGCAATTTTTTTTATTTTGGCCAAAATGGCCCCTTAACCTCCTAGACCCAACAGTGGCCTCTATTGGCCATTCCGCATTTTGCTGAGGTGATTTTTATATGCCGTTTCATATAACGTTTCATATCCTGTAGGCATTCAATTTGCACGATACTAACTGATTACATTCAGGGTTACAAAAATGTTTGTTAATTTAGATTTTTTAGGAAAGCTACCACTTTAACTAGATTGTCTTAGATGATCAGAGAGAAATGTAAAAGGTAAGACACGCTGCTTGAGTTGAGGACTCAGGGTGACTGTTGGGGTCACCACACTGATTCTCGTGACTCTCTATAGAATTCATATCCAGTATGAATGTCCCAGAAACTGGACCAAGCCACTGTTTGAACAGAGGAGGATGTGGCAATTTCCTGAAGCGGTATTTTAAAATGTATTTGGTTAGATGTTTGCATGCAAGACATTAATAGAAAAGTACATTCATTCAATACTCTGAACTTTGTAGTGTGTTTAAGGAAAATTCCACGGACTCTTCAAAAATTTCTGCATAATTAAATGTTAAAGATGTAAACAAAGTCAATCAGAGTTTTGATATGAAATACTAGAGAAACCCGCTGCGTCAGGACTGTTCACAGTGGTGGTGATAGGAACCAGACTTCCAAAGAGTTTAATGCCTCTAAAAGCTCCCTCTCAGAAAGTTATTACATGAAATGATTATAGATGTTGTAGATTTGATTTTGGACTACAACTTTTTTGACCCATTTATGGTGGAAAGGTGCATGCAATGCTAAGTGCTATAAGGCAAAAAATCCTCCAAGAGCTTTTATCACTATTTTCTCGTTATCAACATTGCATATAAAAATTCAGAGGACATATGTAGGTTCATTGGTAGTTTTAGATAGTAAATAAAATGGCTGTATTTGCATTGTAGACATTGCAACTTGTAGTTCCCATCACCACCAATGTAAAGAAATCTAACGCTGCAAGTTTTTCTACACTGAACCGTTTCACATCAAAACACTCTGAATGGCTGTTACATCACAGTGATTGAATTATGTGGAAAGTTTGAAAAATCAATGTAATGCCCCTTTAAGCTGAGCTGACAAGTGGAAGACACTCTATTATAGGTGAGATTCAGGTTCCTCATCAGCATTATCGACACCCCCTTCGTCACCATACCTTAAGATGCCCCAAATACAAGACTTCCTTGCTTTCTACCACTTTGAACACAATACAGTCAATACAGGAGGGTTGAACAAATAGCATTAAAGCTAAGAGCTGGAGGCAAACAGAGTGGAAACAAACACAAACTCAAGCCATCCCACAAAAACAGCTCATCTACTTTGCCAAATTGTAGCACAGGGCATCAAGTAAAGGGAGAACAAAACCATTTTAGCTCCTGTGAAACAACTGGACTATGACAGCAGACCTTCAGTTTTCCATCCACATCGGTTCCCAGCCAATTAGAGGAAGACACACAACGACTCAGAGTTAAAGGCAGGAAAATAGGATGGAAAGCTGTCACTTACCCAGTGGAGGTGGGATGCCGAGGCTTTGTGGCGGCATCTTCTTGGTGTCTACTGAGGGATGATAGAGTGATAGGAGAAAAGCTGAGGAGACGCCTTAAGGAACTAGCCAAGCAGGCAGGAAGGAAGTAAGTGAATCTTTCAGCTGTGAGGCCAGCTTTAGGATTTTAAAAGTAGCATCGTTTGCTCGGTTATGCACTGTGTGTTGTTATGCAACTTTGATTTAAGTAGGCCAAAAACAGGGAGATGTTTGCTGTGAACATGAAGAAAGCAATAAATGAATCCTAATGGAGTCTGTCTGTAAGGTAGAGGTAGTAGGGAGATCTCTGCTATTGCCCCATAACCAGGAGATGTTTTGGGATCTACAGACAGATAGTGTAGGGTAACCTGGTGGAAAAAGCCCCTCTTGGTAAAATGCCCTCAAGGCCTATTCTAATCTCAATACATTTATTGAATGGCTATAGTCCAACTAATCCTGAAATCATAATAATAGGAGTACTAATGATACATACATACACACCGATCAGCCATAACATTAATCTTTTTTCCTACACTCACTGTCCATTTTATCAGCTCCACTTACTATATAGGTGCACTTTGTAGTTCTACAGTTACAGACTGTAGTCCATCTGTTTCTCTGCATACTTTTTTGTTACCCCCTTTCACCCTGTTCTTCAGTGGTCAGGACCCTTATAAGACCACCATAGAGCAGGTACTATTTGGGTAGTGGATCATTCTCAGCACTGCAGTAACACTGACGTGGTGGTGGTGTGTTAGTGTGTGTTGTGCTGGTACGAGTGGATCAGACACAGCAGTGCTGCTGGAGTTTTAAACACCTCAGTGTCACTGCTGGACTGAGAATAGTCTACCAACCAAAAATATCCATCCAACAGCATCCTGTGGGCAGCGTCCTATGACCACTGATGAAGGACTAGAGGATGACCGACACAAACTGTGCAGCAGCAGATGAGGTATCGTCTCTGACTTTACATCTACAAGGTGGACCAACAAGGTAGGAGTGTCTAGTAGAGTGGACAGTGAGTGGACACAGTGTTTAAAAACTCCAGGAGCGCTGCTGTGTCCGATTCACTCGTACCAGCACGTCAGTGTTACTGCAGTGCTGAGAATGATCCACCACCCAAATAGTACCTGCTCTGTGGTGGTTCTGTGGGGGTCCTGACCATTGAAGAACAGGGTAAAAGGGGGCTAACATAGTGTGGAGAGCACAGATGGACAGTCTGTAATTGTAGAGCTACAAAGTGCTCCTATATGGTAAGTGGAGCTGATAAAATGGACAACGAGTGTAGAAACAAGGAGGTGGTTTTTATGTTATGGCTAATCAGTGTCCATAAATATGTAATAGCATTTAGTAATTGATTTTATTATTGTTATTTGTGTTTTGTCAGAGAATATTAAAATGAAGTGGAATCATTAAGATATACTGGTAGGCCTCAAATTATGGTTAAAAATAGAGATGTTTTTGATTTTTTGAAAAATGCAAAGGCTTTAATTAATAAATTATACATTCTGTAAGACCTAGATGACAAATTAATGCAAGATTTGCCTTGCTTCTTACCCCAGGGCTTCTAAAGACTTTTTTTGTGTTGTTTGTTTTTTTTTAATTGCTGCTGCAGTTTTTCCCCTCGAACTAACTGTGCTAGGTCTATGGATCATCATCCTGTGCATGGTTTAGCTTTGTAGTAAATGCTTATTGTTCATAAGGGGGCACTTTCTCCTATTGTGTCATAAATGCCTATGCACACAAGGCAATATAAGTTAACTATTACAGTAAATGTAGAGTGCACCCTTTAATAATTTAATGTAGAGCACGGATTCAATACTGCAGCCGCAGCTCGCTGAACAGATCGGACACGAGGGGCAGGGCGTGCACACAAATCTACCTCAAATCAACTTACGGTACATGGCAACAAAGTGAAAACCGTTCAGCATCATCTTCGTGGAGAGCGCTGTTATTTTTTTCCCACCCGTATTCAGACAAAGTCCTGCCTCCTTCGCTAGGATTGGCTAGTAGTTCGTCATCACAATCCGAGGAACTACCAATCCGAGCGCAGCACTACGAACTTCTAGAACTCCTCAATCGCGGGGCATCAGCCAATCCCAGCGCAGGGGGCGGGGTTTGTCGGAATACGGGTGGAGGTTTTAAAAAATAACGGTCGTGGAGTGCCTACGTCACCGAGTGTGGCAGCTCCTACATGGCAGAGTGCAGGACGGAGCCGGAGCTAACCGCCCGTTAACCCCCATCCCCTCCCATATGGGCTCGATTTAACAACAAACCCCTTAAAAACACAATGTCAGCATTTCGCACATCTTCGTTGGGACCTAGCAGTCACGACAAATAGTCTTCACTAAGGAGGCTTTATCGGTAAGTGCTCCATTTCTGAGGTAAAAAAAAAAATCTGCCTTTTCTTTCGCCTCAGCATCCGGCGACTTTGTTTAAATGTCTAATACAGCTGGAAAGGTTGACTTCGTTCAAAACGTGGTTATTTCATGATTTTTCGAAAGATTAGGTGAGCAGTCACGACGACGTGGACGCAGAACGCGATGGCTTTCCCTGTGGGACGTGTCTGAACGGCTTTGACCCGTTCTTCCTTCCCTATATACATATTTTACAACATAATTCAGTCAGCGCGTCTTTTTTCGACTCATGCTAAAAGGTTTAGCATCCCCCCCTCAGAAAAGCTGTTTATCTTGACACGCAAGGCTCGCGCAGCGCACGTAAAAGGCAGCGGCTCGCGCTCGGCAGGTGGCTCGCCACCTCCTGAAAATGGACATGCCAACATCCACCATCATTCCTCATTTATGTTCCTGCTGTATGTTCGTCTCCGCCGCTGCGCTCTCCTGCATTTGGACTCCCATGAGAAACGGGTAATACCTGAACCTGCTTGGTTAGTTAAGTGGATGTAGGAGTGACATTTGCTCTGATAGCCTTAAGTCTGGCGTGGCGTGCTGCAGCTCAGCTTCCTCCACTTTCCCATCACTAGTTAAATAGGCCAGTTTTCATATTCCTCGCAGGGGGAAGAGTGTGCAAGATGCTGGCTCTGCTCCTCAGGCTGACCTTCATGTTAAGTGGCCTGTTCACTGTGCCTACAGTTAATTTACAGCTCAAGAATGTTGATCAGATCTTAGCAGACACTGAGAAAAAGGGAAGAAGTAGCCTTTCCTTCTCCTAGTACAGTGGAATGCTGGCCATATGTTTATGTGATTTCTGCAGCAGATACGCTGGGTTGCTGGGCAAGACCTGCGAGAGGTATTCAGAGTCTCAGGACCGGACCGAGAAGTGTGGAGATATGGGAGGTGGTCCCAGCGGGCTCTGTTATGCTGGTTTGACTTAAGACGGGTCTCCTTCTAAACTATCTCATGGGACGTTTGTGGAGGTTTGTTGTACAGCTTGGCTTTGAGAGTGTGATTCATAGGTGCAGAACAAGGGTCACTTTGAAAAATACACTACGAGTCTGTTCATTTACATGCTACAAACTAAGAGCTGTGGCATATTGCTGAGATCATTTGAATGGGATTTATGTGGCACCACAGCAACTAATCTAATGCACATAAAACTCTGCTTTTATAAACAGTAGAAATGCTTTTTTTTGCAAGGACACAGATCCAAACTGCATGCATAGTATCCTTTATGTACACCAGTTGTTCCCAACTCTGGTCCTGGTCCTGCCTTGCACACAAATGCAATGTAGAACAGGAAAAACTATGAAATTTTTGGGGCAGTGGTACTCCATGGCCAGCCTGGGAGCAATGTCAAGTACATGAAGAGGAAGTTTCTCTATTTTGACTGTCTGTTTCTATCACATACTATGAATGTCACAATCTCTTGGATAAAATTAATCTTTTTATTGGTCTCTCCTACTGTGAGAAACGGAATATGATGGACATGATGGACTTTTATATGCATTTTTTGCCACAAAGCTTTTTTTTAACGAAGATTAAAGAGTCTTTGAAAGGCTTTACACAGTTTGTTTGTTCACTTTAGTCCATTTTTTGTGTTTCCTTAAAGAATTAATGGTTGATGGTGACATTTCTATTACATACGTTACCTTTGGTATCCATTAGCATATTGATATCAGTAGGTATCGGATATGGAAGTGAGAAAAAGAATGAGTCCGATCTAATCCTGTGACAAATCTAGCCTAAAATAGCACACACTGCCATTGTGTGATGTGATGTTGTTAGCTTTGCATTTCATTCTGTGAGGTAGTAGAGAGTGTAGTTTGCCTACTTTGAGATGCTCATCTTAAGAGAAGCGCTTACGTTTTAAAGCGTAGTAGTATTTAAAGGAAAAATACTGGATCTGCATTGATATCTGTGTATGCCAAGGTTTCGGTATTGGTATTGGAAAGGAAAAAGTGGTGTTACGCCATCTCTGCTATCCATTTCTGTCTCCTGATTTACTCAAACGGCTCTCAGTATATCAGGACTCTCCTGTGTTGCGTGACAACACGAACGCCACCATCTGCGAGGGCAAAGGCCTGCGCACACCTCTGTGCAGATGGATTCTGCCTGTGCATCTTTTCAGATAGTCCACCATGCAGAGTTTGTCAGGCCCGACTCTATACGAGACGCCAGACCGTGTGCTGTAGACGCCAGATTGGCTGCTTTGGCCCGCAGCAGAAGGAAAAGGGGACCCTGCCATTCTCCCCTTCCAATTAAAACATATCCAGTTGCATTCTTGCGGAGCCCTGACCGTGGACGGCAGATGGCACAGCTGGGACTCGAAACCAAAACCCAGTGCATGTCTGAACTGCACAAAGTTTACTGGATGCAACTCTTCGGATTGATCACATTAGTCATAGAAATATTAGATACATGCAGATGCATCCTGGGGAGGGTCAAACTGACATGCTTGGTGAGAGATGAACTGATGCACACATAATTATATTGGGTTTGCAGATTATGGATTGTTGGATTGTTGGAATATCATCATTGAGTTTCCATGTTTCCAGACTTCGTTATGGATGGTGATGATGATGTAGCCTTCAAAGTAGTAGAACCAACTGCTACAAATGAAACTGCACCCCAAGAAAATATTTCATAAAAGAAAGCTGAACTACAGTCCTGTTATAACCAAATGATGATCCATGTCTGCTGCATGCACTACTCAGTTGTGGGTTCTTCTCTATTGCGTTTTAATGAGGGTTATCATGATGCAGATGAATATGGCCTATTACTTTTTAACAGCACATAAATATTCTTCAGTAAACACCACATCTGTATTGGTGTAAAGTCAGTCAGTGAATGTTCTTTCTGTATTTTTAGACATTCACAGGAAGACTAGAGCTGCGTACCATAACTCAGAAATTAAATTTTGGACACCTTTTCAGCATAAATAAGTAAAAAAACATTCACAATGAAGACCAGTGCACTTATTTCCAGTTGTTTCCAGTGGGAGAGACTCGTTTTGCACACTGTTTTTCCACCCTGTGCAGCTCTCTTTGGGTGGATCGTTTGGCTGCCAGAGTTGAAAAAAGTTCAATTAACATTTTTTCTGTGCTGACCAATCAAAGCAAGGGTAGGGTCTTCAGTGACCTTTGTGATGGAGGAGGAATTAGTGACTGCAGCTTTTCACCAATTGAAATCATGAAATAAACATGAAGCAGCTTTTTTAGTGTAGCTTCTGCTAGCAGCACCACATTTGCTAGTTAATAGTGGTACTTAATGTTTCTGCCTGTATGTATGGAAATGTGTAATGCACAGCTGACAGTCAGAACACTGTTGTTGGTTAGCAGCCAGAATCAGCATTAAAAAAAAAAAACGCAATGTGAACCCCCAAGATAAAAAAACACTGTGCAGTGCGCTTTTCCGCCTTCAGGAAAAAAACACAGTGTGAACGCCTCCCTTAAACAAGATATTAACATAAATGCTTCTTAAATTCTCATTAATTGTATGCTGTGCTTGTTTAATTGCTCTGCGATCTGTTTCAGCCAATTATTATCCATTTTTAAGAACCCCAACATACATTTCTGGTTTAAGCTATGCCCACATTTAGTTTGCATACAAATAAATTTGTCATTAGAGGCTCTGCAAATGTGTGGCCGTCGTGGGCATAAACTTATGCTATCATCACTGGGGCAGTGCCCCTCTTGTCACTGGGGTGGTACCCTCAAGGGTACATCTCAGTACCTTTAGTCAGGGAACATAATTGTACCATTGAAATTATATTTTCTAAGTTGTTTTGACTCCACACACCCCGTCTCATCTGCAGGCTTTTCATTTTATTGTTCTGTTTTAAAACATGAGGTTCCAGGTTTTCACCTGGAAAAACTTATTTAAGGTTCACAATTGGACCCTAAAACCACTGTTGTACCTCTGAGGGAACATTTATATTGTTTATACCTTAATAAACAAAAAATGTACCTGAACAGCACCTTTTTTTCTAACAGTTTAGGAGGCAGTGAAAAAAAAACACAATGTACAGAAAACGAAGAGGAAAGTCTGGCATTTTCTTACCTCTCTCCAAGAATTGTTTGGGTCTTGTCTCACAAAAGTAGTTGAAACTTTGGAGGCGTGTATGTAGTGGCCTCTGCAAGCCACTGTAAGATACACTTATCTAGACACCTTTTCTACGTCCCGTTTACGTACATGTTCACAGAGGTATAAATCAGCCTTTCAAGACAAATAGCTTTGTTCCAAAACAGTGTTTAGATAACTGTAAGTGTCTAGATAACTGTAAGATACACTTATCTAGACATCTTCTCTACGTCCCACCATAGGTAACTAAGATATACTTATCTAGACACTTTTTCTGCGTCCCACCACAGGTGCGATTACGTACATATTCACAGAAGTGTAAATCAGCCTTTCAATACAAATAGCTTTGTTCCAAAACAGCTGTACTGCAGTCTTTTGACTTTTTGGCTTAATATTTTTGTGTTCAAAAGAAAGTATTGGAAAAAATGTTGTTCAGGACTGAATATCAAAGTCAAGTCATTGATACTGGTACCTATATATCGAAACATTTTGATCAATGCCCAGCCTTAAGCAAGAGACCTGCATATTTTCAGGATTGTGTATAGTTGGTTGGGCATATTGTGCTATCATCTACTGTACGATCATCCGAAACATTTCACTGTTGTCGGAGGAAAACTTTTATCTCTATTTTTGACGTTTTTCAGTTTTTGACATAATTTGAAAATGCCTATTGACCTTTACATTGTTTGTAAATTTCATGATGAATGGACTAAAAGAAACGACCCAAAATGACTTGGAAAATGTCTGGTTCCATTGACTTACATTAAAAGTAGAGTGTGTTTTTCCTTCTCCTGTAAAGTTATCAGTTTGGAGATGTGAGGTTTTCTTCCGACAACAGTGATTTGTTAGCTTTATGAAGAATGCTTTGGCTTTGAGAGGGATGGTGTATTTTAAAAAAAATAAATACATGAACGTCATGTTTTGGGAGTGAAGTTTCTAATCCTTTGGTAGGAAATGCGTTTAAGCAATCCGGACAACTTGTAATGGATCAAAATGCTTCATTTATTTCGTCCCGTGCACTGTTGTGCTATTGTGCAGTGCATAGCTAAGCAGTTCCACTGTTCGTGATTTTATTCTATAGGCTTTTGGTCCCTTTCTTTCCTCTTTCATTCAGTGCGCTCAATAGGACAGATTACAAATATGTGTGTGTGTGTGTGTGTGCGTGTGTGTGTGTGTGTGTGTGTGTGTGTGTGTGTGTATATATATATATATATATATGCGTGTGCTTGTGGTCAGAGCCAAGTTTTTTCCCATTGGATAACTCCATTGGAAATGAGAATAGACTAAGAGAGAGGCTTCTGTGTTGAGCTGGCACACACTGTCAGATGACTCTCATAAGGTACAGATATTTTTTTGTTGTTCCTTGGTTCTTCTCTTCTCTTCTCTTCTCTTCTCTTCTCTTCTCTTCTCTTCTCGCCAGTCCTGAACTCAGCAGAGAGCTGTCCTGAACGACAGCAAATTCTTAGTAAATCCAGCGTCGGGGTGGGTGGGGGACTTAATGACTTCTAAAGAGGATTTGGGATTTCAGTTTTGCAAATGCCAGCACAGCGGGTGAGTGGCATTTATGAAGTTTATGCGTTTTACACTGATTTGTATTGTCCGGGTGTGTATTCAGGGAATATTACATGTAGGCGGTAGATATGTGTGTGGCGGGTGTGTAGCGGTCTTTTCCGTGGCTCTCAAAGGCCAAGATAAAATCAAATGTAGGGCAGCAGGTCATACAGGTCGTGTGTGTGTGTGTGTGTGTGTGTGTGTGTGTGTGTGTGTGTGTGTGTGTTAGGGTGAAAAGTAATCTGTTTTGCTTTTTGAATATCCACATTTTTCAATGAGTAGTTTGAATATCCCGAAAGATTTTTGTCTTGTTTTGGAAAACTACAGAAATATGTTAGGGACGAACTGCTATGGGAATTGTAGGATGATGTCAAGGTCTGATTTTTTTATCTGTATATCTGCCAGTGTTGATTTGTGCTGATGCTGATTCATGAATGTTCATGAAGAGTAGAAATTAAGACTAAATCTATTTGAATAAGAACTACCCAGATAAACAGCACTTTATTTCTGTTGGGTTACAAATACAACGTCACCTAAATATTCTGCAGTACATTAACTCCATCATGAAATATCAATTTGGAATATTAGTCAAATCCAGCCATCTGTCTGATGGTGAAACAAATCATATCATCATACATCTGTAAAATATGTAAGCCTTGACATTCATTTATTTCACGCAAGTAGCGCAAGAGGTGGTCCGTATCTGACTGTTTGGTTAATTTATTGGTTTATCTTTGTTTGTTGGTTTTGTTGATTCAGCACACTTGCAGTTAATCTACGACAGCCTGGAGTGGGAGTGAACAGTACATTCACGATACATGATATGCATTGTGACATTTTGATTTTCTGATATTTAATTACAGTGATTTTTATTCAGTGTTTCGCAAAATGAAGCAGGCATAATTATGCCTACTTTGTAATGAAACATAGTTAGTCAGAGTTCTTTAAGTACTGGCGATATCCATGATATGCTCAGAAAAGTGTATTGTGACATATCGTAATCATGATTACTATAAAATATCGTTAGTTTGCCCACCCCTAGCAGGTAACAGCTGCTCGTGTATCAACATTCTCTGTTCTCTGAGGTTGCATACTGTGTTTGCACAAGGAGGAATTAGACCTCTGCATTTAACCCATCCATGTAGTGAAACACCCACATACATGCACACCAGTGAACACACACTAGGGGTAGAGCTGGGCGATATGGCCAAAAATGTTATCACGATAAACAAAATTCATATCGTTCGATATCGATATATACCACGATAAATGTCAAATCATTATTTCTTTCAAGTTTGAAGGCTGGTTTTTGCTCCTGGGTGGTTAATTGCTGTTTTAAACTATCCTTTATGGTCTGAACACGACAAACACTCAAAAAACAGTGGAACATTTCACAAATCTGTGATGGGAGAGTGGGAGAAAGTGTCTGGTGAGCTGTTTTTACCAGCTGGAAAAGCAGGGCTATTTTGTAATAGTCATAATTTAAGATAGAAAACAGATTATTTTTAGCTGGTGCCGAGCGCTCGGCTACCCCGCTACAAATGGCATCACAGTATTCAGACACCAGCTAGACGACTGGATTTCTCTATACTATCGTAGTAGTTTAAGTGGTGAACCGCAAAATATCTAACACCAGACAAACAGAGTCCTCTTTTTAGGTACGTTTAAACTGAAAACGGTGCTTTTGTGTCGTGTTTGATCTACAGTATCATCAATTCGCCGTGTTGTGCAGTGACAGCGCGCTGCTTCAAGTTAGCCAGCTGCTAAAACCAGCTAGCCTGGAAAGATAGCGCTCTCCCGCTCTCCAATGCCTCACAGCTTCCTCAGTTTACTTTCGTTTAAATCAGAGCTGTAATTTACATGAACCCACTTCTTTCTTTCACTTTCGTTGCTTGGGAATGCACTAATACTGAAATATGACTGTCCGAGCGCTGTAACAGCGCTGTAGTTGTGAGGATTGTGATTGTGATTTAACGCTGCTAAAGCTGGTTAGGATGTACGGAAAGAGATGAGTTCGCTGTAGGACAGTATAGTAACAAGACTGTCCTCGTCACTCACACTCGGTCACAGTAGAACAGATCGCCGGTCGCTCCGCTCAAACAGGGAATGTATAACTCCGCGTTTCAGCCGTTGCTAAAGACTCATCTTACTCGTGGCCCCCTCCCTCTCTACTCATGTCGAAAAACTCGGAAGTGCGCCCTCTCCTGGCGACAGCAGAGTAGTGTCGCTTTCCTTGCAGTAGAAAACGCCACCAAGGCTTTCGCTGAACGTGGAAGTGCGAGAACTGTGTATTATATTGAACATTTATCGAACATGTCGTATCGCTCTATCGAGGAAAAGTTATATCGCGATAATTATCATTAACGTTTTATCGCCCAGCCCTAACTAGGGGGCAGTGACCATACCTGCCTGGAGGGGTGGGCAGCCCTATCCACAGCGCTCGGGGAGCAGTTGGGGGTTAGGTGCCTTGCTCAGGGGGACTTTAGTCGTAGCCTGTCAGCTCAGGGGGTCGAACCGGCACCCTTCCGGTTACAATAATACATGATTTATTTCACTTTTGAAATAATAGACTACATATACTTTATTCAGTTACCTGATTAACTGATAAAGCTTTTTTGTGATAAAAATGCACAGATTCTAAATTTTTAATCAATACCACATCAGTGTTCATAAGTAGAAGAGATATTTTATTATTATTTGAACTTGACGAAATGTTCATTTTATTGTGCATGTATTGTTTTGTGTAAAGGAACAATCACCTTTTACGTTTTTACCGTACGGTTGTGATTTATTGACATCAAAACAAACAGAAAAGGTCAGAGTTGCAGGCTCAATTGCAAATCAGATGTAAATGCTCCAAAACACACTATAGACCACTTTCGTTGGGAGTGGACTTTACACGTACAATAAATATTAATTAATATTTATAAATTAATATTTAATATTTTAATATATTAATATTAAGGTAATACCACCTTTATTAGAGAAATACACGTTTTCTATTATATGTCAGCTGTTACTCTTTTCAAAACCTTGTTTTAATTGCTTTAATTTAAATTGTTTAATATTTCAAAGTTAAATTGTTTAATTTAAATTGTATATAAAACGACACTAATAACCCCCCCGACTTTTAAGGGTTAAATAAACAAGTGCTAAGATTATATGTACTTAAATAACCTCGCCCAAGCTTACTCCGTATTTCATATAGTATGAGCTTAGAGATGAAGAATAGCTCAGGAATATCCGTTTTAAGTGGGTGGGTCAGAGAGCACATGCTGATCAGGCTGTTTTTGCCTTCTGTTGTGCTAGGGGGATATGGAGGGGAACAGGTTGTCTTGGCATGGTTTTGCATGCTGGGTTGTTGGAACACACTTTCAACACATTTCTCCTTCGCCTCCTGGCTCTCTGGAGCACGGAGCTAATGCCGTGGAGAGTGGAGGCCTGCAGAGCTGTCACTACAATCACACACACACAGATATGGCCATTTCAGCTTTGATAAGTTGGAAATGGCTTCCGCGCCAGAGATGCTATAGTTGAAGCAGTTGACAGGTCATTACGGATTTTGAGATGAAGCTCTTATTGTGAAGCTGGTGAATAATAATGTCTTAGCAGGTAATTCATGGTTTGTGTGTGTAGGGGCGATGCCTGCTCCTGAACAGGGGCCTGCAGCAGAGGAGGAGGAGGTGCTGAGCTGCAAGGAAGGATCCAGCACCAGCAAGATGGAGACGGAAACGACCACCACTAACATCCTGGCATCCGTCAAAGAGCAGGTAAACGCGTACAGACGCACCGATACATACACATTTGAGATGTTTTGTTGGAAGTGAAAATCATATGAACAACTACAGTCATTTCAGATCAGATCAGTCTTAGCCCAGATCAGTCTTAGCCCTGTTGAACAATCCCCTATCTGCGAAAGCTTTCTTTATCTCGTTCAAATCTGCCGGCAGAGGAGTTACAGCGCATGCATATCCATGTTGGCCAGAGTAGAATGTGTCAGCATGTAGAATCAATGTGTTCTCTATGCTACTTTGTTTTCTATCACTATATAAAAGATGCAGAAGCCTTCCATTACTGTTGGGTGAACTGTGATTTTCCCACAAACGAGTGTGTTCGTCTAGAAAATAGTTCAAATCAGAAATCAAATCAGTTATTGTTGTTTTGTTTAATCAGAGTGTCTGATGTGTGCTTTATATTCCTATTTATGCACTTCTTGTTTAAAGAGGTAGTTAGAGAGACAAACAAAACAAAAAAAATGGCTTTATTAGATCAGAAATAGACACGGCATCAGCCCTAAAGGATTAATGCATGCATGTGTGCTTGTTGATGTACAAACGTGTACTGTAGGACAACAGTAGGCTTGGCAGTATGTGTGCTTTTGCCATATATCATGTGAATATGCAAATGTAAATAAATACAGAAAAACACAGATTTCTTGTTGATTTCTTGTTTGTACAAGTATTGATTCGTCAAAAACAAGTGATGTTTTGTAAATGTTGTTAACCACAAATATACGAAACGGCTAGATATAATATTAATGTTATTTGTAATTTTTTTAGCAAATATTAGTGATTGCTTTCTGCCCAGATAAAAAGCTAACTAGCTTTTCTAATTTTCTCTGATGCCTAAAAATTTTGCGCCTTACTGTATGTAATGCATATGGGACATGTGTATGACCCCATGTCCTGACAAGGTATAAAAACATGTGTGTGAGTGTTTGTGTATGTGGTTGCATGCATTTCTGTTATGTTTGGCCAAGTCATCATCAGTTGCCTCAGGAGACAGAAACATAGCAGTTATTGTTACTCCTTTTGTCAGTATGTGTTGTGAGTGTGTGTGTGTGTGTGTGTGTGTGTGTGTGTGTATGTGTGTATGTGTGTGTGTGTGTGTGTGTGTGTCTACTGTAGGGCTAAAAAAGTAATCTGTTTTTGACTAAATCACAATTTAAAAGAATGCAGTTTTCGAATTGCAAGAGCTGCAGTTTTAATTATATGCTGCATTCTTCAACGTTGTCTTAATTTTGGGGGAAATGGGGGGAAATGAAGCAGTTCTGCTTATTCACATTAAAGTTATAAGGAGGGTTTCAGGCTGGACTGCTGTTTTGGTTGGGGTGCAATACATTGCAGCCTGTCAGTGCAGAGATGATTTACATACATCAGTCTTGAAGTCTTGAAGGCACTGTAACAATGTAATAGAGAGAGGTTGGAAAATTATCATGTAAAAAAATAATTAGGACTGTTTTTGTTAAATAAACGTACACAAATCACATATTGTGTGGTCCACACTACAGGATAATCAGGCCAATTTTAAGGTTGATTCAGCCCTCCTGACAATTGCAAAGGTGTCCCAGTTTCAGGCTAGTCTTAAACAGTTATCTTCACAGATTATCCTGTGGATTGTGTATAATCCAGTCTCCTGATTTAGAGTCGTAAATATTAACTATAATCAAAATTTACGACTCAATCATGTCAACTGTGTTGACATCATGTGTGAAAGACTGTTAATGAATGAGAGCCCAGCTGAATGAAAGGATAAAAATCATTTCATTGTAATTCATGTAAAAAAACTAATGAATATATTTTCGTTTACTTTTATGCCGCTAAATTGGAGACTATTAGTCGGGCCGCTGATTAATGAGCATAATCTGAAAATTTGTGATGTTTTGTTCTGGATATATCTTGTAGTCTGGGGTCACCGATGACTGAAGGACATGTAAAGACAGAAAAATCATGGGAATCCATTATTATGTGTGGGGTCTGTCATGTTTTCAACATTGGTAAGAATGTTAAAAATCCCATAGTTTGGGCCAGTTGTAAGTGAAGCTCTAGTAAATGCAATAAAAATATAAAATATTAACGCTTTCAGTTGCAAGATTGTTCTAAAAATTGTCTAGCCCTAGTTTACTCTCTGTACTGAGGTTATGGTCAGAGTTAGGCATAGTTAAAACAGTGTTTAGCCAAACTTAATGTGTACATCAGTGAAAAACCTTCATGAAACAGTAATGTAAATGTGTGTGTGTGTGTGTGTGTGTGTGTGTTTGTGGTTGTGGTTCTAGTCTCGGCTCTAACTGAAGTCGGTACACAAAACAGGCTTTGTCAGCATGGACAGTGTAGAGTGTTGAATGCTGGAGACTTGTTGTGACTGGCAGCTCACAGCACAAAACAAAACACAACCACACCAACCTGACTTCACCCTCTATGGAGAAAATGCCAACACATCTCTTTTTTTGACTGCCTACAATATCTGACTGCCTACAAACACTGATTTGCAATGATTTGCCATTCCCTTTGGTGACTGACTACTCTATTCGAGGCTAGTCAGAACTGTGGAAGTGTGTCTAGGAAAGCGCTTCACTGTAGTAGACATTCAAAGCAAACATGAATAAATGATTTTGGATTGGTTACCCGCCTTAGCACTTCTCAGAGCCGATCGTACTGTCTGTGCGCGTGTGTATTTGTGTTTGTGTGCATGCGTGAGTCCTTTTGAAACAGCTGCATCAATGAGCCGTTTTCAGGGAGTGAGTGAAAGACAGGCCCACACAGCACAGTTGTCACAAACTGAAACACACACAAACAGACTAAAAGGGTTGTGCTAAAGGAGGAGAGGAGTGGGGAGAATAGCCAGAGAGCCCAGTCATGCAGCCACAGAGGCAGCATGCAGTGAAGGAAGATCATTTTTTCAGATGTTTTCAGCTGGACTGAGTGTGAAACTTTATGTTATGTTTCGTGTCTGACAAGTTGCTTGCAGTAGCTCTGTTCTCTATGGGAACTTTTTTTTGTCCTTTTTTCACTCTTCGGCATAGGAGCTCCAGTTTGAACGGCTGACCAGAGAGCTCGAGGCAGAGAGACAGATCGTGGCAAATCAACTGGAGCGATGCAGGTTGGGGGCAGAGTCTCCAGGTGCTGCCAGCGACAGGTATACAGTAAATCTTCCTTTTACTTCACTAGCCGCAAGCCAGTTCCTGTGGTATCGTGGCATCAACACTGAAATTAAATGGCAGTGGTTCAGTCCTTATTTAAATTTTTTGAAAAGCAATTTTGGGCTTGGTCAAAGTTTCTTCAATTGCATACCCCTGCTTGTAGACGTCATTGCAGTTCTAGTGGACCAGATGTTGATGGCACAGTGACGTGCAGTTATTTTTGCGACTGTGCACCAGAATCCCATCTGTGCAGAACAATCAAGACATTTTTCTCACTCTCTCTCCTGTGCATTGCAGTGTCTCTTGACCAACTTGTTTGATCTTGTAAGCTACATAATTTTGAATACATTACGCAGGTAGTCTGAAACTTTCCGAGCTGATTTTAACATGGCAGTAAAATGATAAGCTGCTTTCACTCTAGATTTGGTTGAAGTCCAGTAGATGGTCCATCCAGGACTGCAAGTGGTTTAAATCAGATTGTTGAAGCACAGCAATAGTGTCTGAAATTTTATAACAAGGACCTGAAAGATATATGAGTCACTAATTTTGACAATTATATAAACCATTTTAATAATTTATTTTTATTGAAAAGCAAAGGAACAAAGCTTTTGTCTTAGCCGACACACACAATTTCAGTACTAAATTATTTATGCAGTAAAAAATACATAGAGATACAGAAAATCCTTTCATTGATATATCCAGTTCAATTTTTTGATAGCATATGCCTGAATATAACTCTCCCAGAGTTGCATATAAATCTCTTTTGCCTTAGAAAGTCATTGATCCTAAGTCTTAAATTGAAAGTAAGTCTTTCCATATGATGAATTTTGTTTACTATTCTCAGACTCAGGTGTTGTCATTTCTGAGTTATTTTACTAGTGGCTGCCAGAAATATTTTCAATAAAAAACCTGTCTACACAATACACCCTAGCTGACTTCCAAGCCCCACAGACTTAGGCAAGATTCTCATATCTCTATTTCCCGTATTTCCTCAATTGTTAATACTGTTTGATTAGATGGACATCTTAAGCACATTTATTCCCCTCCTGTCTTTCAGACTATACAGTTATGAATTGCTAAAAGCATTAATAAACTTTTACATAATACACTTTTAATCAGGAACTGTTTTTCTCATTAAATTCAGTGAGCCAGTGAATTGAGGTGTTTTGGATTGGTAAAGTGGCTGATTATATGAAAGGCTATTCAGAGTTTGCTCAGCTGCATGCTGCGATTCGCTGTGTGTACTGGCTGGCAGGCTTCACCTCAGCTAGGCAGTCTACAGAGTAAGCAGTTTTAGCCTGGGATGGCTTTGATTCCCTGGTCATTTTCTGTTCAACTAGTAATCGCTTATAAATATCTCAATGGTAGTGATCATTTGCTAGTGGCTAATGTGCCATGTTTGGGTAGGCAGTATGACAGTGTTATCATTATCGATATTATAAATGACTTTACACCATGAGTATTATATTGAAGGGCTTTATAATACTGAACAACTGCATGTTATATAAAAAAGATCAATTATAGAAAACCTGTTAACAACAACAACCACCAGTGTCACTTCTGTAACTGCTTAAATTGCATAGTAACAAGTAGCTGTTTGGATCTCAGTCCTTCTTAAGTAGGTTATTTTTTTTACAAACATTGAATCACAAACAATCATTGTAAATATAGTTTTTCAGAGCCTTTTGACGGCTACTGTGTTGCTGGTGCATTTTGTCTTTAAAAAAATAAACATCATGATATATATTGTGTATTGTTAACAGAGGTGGGTCATTGGTGCTACATGCTTTTTGAATAAACTGTGCTTATATGAGTCTTCACAGTAGAGGATACTTTGTGCTCTCACTTGAGCACATTTATAAGGAAAAAGTGCATCGTCTGCATTTTTCTTTTTACGTTTTTAAGTATTTTAATTCAGTGCACATTCTGTGTGTTTCGTTCATCCACAGATTCTTTTTCCTGATTGGTGCCTTTGTTGGTCATTAGTTAGACCCCTACACTTCTGTCAAAACAAAATGAGATTACCTTTTATTTGACTGTGTTTCGGCAATCAAATGCAGCCTGTCACAATACATACAATGAACTAGCCGTAGGGGTGGACTTGTATTGTGAAATTGAAGTGTTGATTATGCTGTATAACAGGTCGACCACAGGGGCTGAAAGGCTGAAGCAGCGGGCGATTCTGTGAAGGGAGGTCACCGCTGGTCTCATTTTCTAAATATGATTTTATATTTAGACACATTTTCTTATTGTATAAGCTACAGAAACCAGCAGTCGTATCAGTGTTTGCATGAGTGTAGCTTGTTGAACGTGAAAGGCATGGGAGAAAAATTTCAAATTCTACCACATTTCTATCCTGTGGTCTGTTTTATCTGCAGGAAAACATTAGCTTTTCCCATTCTGGTGTTTATGTGAATGTGTTAGTTGGTACGTTGTGTTGTCTGTTATTGCTCAATGGTCAGTCATATTAAGACATTGTTACCCTTAAGATAATTTGGGAACTTTTGCGCACACACAGGTGTAAGGTATCGTGAAGTGAAGACTCGCTACTTGAGTAGTCATTTCACTTAAAACTTTCCATATCTTACTGATATAATTGTTTGGATGATCACTTTAACTTGAGTAAGTATTATTTTTAAGTGGTGTCAAGGTTAATGTGTTAATAACACATTAATAAAACAAATTATTTACAGCACAAATTTTTTTTGACACATTTTTCTAGTTTGACCCTTCAAACCATCATCCGATGACTATGGATGTCATTGATGTGTTATTTTCAAGTTCATTGGTGATTTTTATGTTCAAGTTGAATTATTGAAAATTCATATGTATGTCAGCAAATTCTAACAAATACATTTTGTTCTCTCATGTGGCTTTAAGAAAATCCACTGCTTTTAAAATAAGGAAATTTTTTCTTTAACATTAAATTACAGCAAAAATACCAAGTGCGATTAGTCATGATTATCTACACAAACTAATGTGATCATTCACTATTCATTATTTTCATCATTTAACTAATAACAATACTCCTTATAACTTGTGGCTACTCTACCCATTTCTAACCACTAAAATGTTGTGAAAGGTTTGTTGATTAAATTTTTGCCATATTGCCCACTCTTAGTGCCGTTTTTGTGTGTGTGTGGATGGATGTGTTTGGATGGTCAGCTGGCCAGTTAAGTCTCTCAGTCAGAAACAGAGTGTTTTTTCAGTTGTTCGAGTCTCAGCTTGCTTGACCATTTGGATTGCTTCTTATAGTCAGACTCTTATTGGCTGTCTCACCATCTGTGTGCCTTTTGACCTTTGACCTTTGTTGGGTTGACCTCCTCATGGACTGGTCACTTCTGCATTCTGCTCTGTGGCTGGCAGAGTCAGCACCCCGGTGGCACACGCTGCCGTTCAGTAGCAGGCACTAACAGACGCTTGTCTCCAGTCTTCGGACAGTGACGTCTGCACTATGTTGTTTATTCAGACTGATCCCTTGGGCCACACACACTCTCACACTCGCAACACGGACACGCCAGCGCTCTTCACTCCGCTCTGACACATAACTAAACCCTTGTTTCCTATTGACACTATTGGTCATTTAGTATTTCCAGGGCAGGCCTTGTGATAAACCTCAGAGAGATGAATTGTCTACAGTTTGTGGACTGTAAACATGTTAGCACAAGATTGATATGTGGTTTATTTACCCCAGAGATGGTGCTGGCTGATCTGGCATGTTAGCAGAAGATTGATATGTGGTTTATTTACCTCAGAGATAGCCAGAGGAGATACTGGCTGATCTAGCATGGGGACTGGCTGGGAGCTGAGAGCATACACTGTCATTTGATTTGATTGATGGGGACTTGGTGGAGCTTTTCATTCTCTCTCTTGCTCTTTTGTCTTCCTTCATTTTCTTCAGTTCCTCTGAGAAGTCTCTGCTGTGGAGATCAGCAGGTAAGATTCATACTGCTGACTTTATTCTGTGTGTGTGTGGTCGTCCCGTTTTCAAAGCTACACTGCACTTGGGATGCACCAGTATAGGATTGCTGGATGGATAGCCATCATTGGCAAATTTACTTTTTGCATTTTAAAGCAATTGTTTGATTGAAAATCAAAATTGTCCACTTACCACAGGTGTATTTGATCACCCAAGACATGTTTGGCATATAAATTTTGCTTCTTTAGTTAGGATATTGTTACTAACTAAGGATATTGTTGTCAACCTGCAACCACATCCTGGCCTTCGTTATGGTCACACAGACATGGTTTAGGATTCAGTAAAGCATGCTCTGAACTGAAAAAATGAACAACACTTCACCCGGTCTCTGAATGCAGCAAGCAATGAAGATCTGGATTCAGCTGTGTGCAGATTGAGAGGGGGATGTTTTGGGGATGTATTTATGGAAAAGATTTGAGTGACTATTGAGTTCTAGTGTATGTTAGCAACATTAATGAGGTAACTCCAGCACAAAACTAAAGAAGCAATTTTAGGACACCAAACATGTCCTGGCTGATCAACTACTTCTGGGGTAAGTGGGAAATTTTGAATTGTTGTCGAAACATTGCATGAACACAGAGTCACACTTTAATCTATAAATGAAGTGCAGTGAGGGTAAGCGAACTCTAGAAGTGCGTCACTGATTAAATCTACATAGCCAAAAAAATAAAACATGACAGTTATTATAAGTGCTTATATATTTACTCCTATCTAGAGCAACTTACAGAGCAACTATGGTAGGTGAGCATAACATTGGGAGTCTTGTTTAAGGACTCTTATTGTGCATTCCTGGATAGGAAATCAAACCTCTGATTTGACATGCCTTGGGCGGTGGTGGTATCTGCTATGCTGTTAATTGTTTTGAAAAGATCAGAAATCTCCATTAACTATATGTGCATAAGTGCGCATGAACAAATAGGGACACCAGTTCCACCAGTATCATCTGCAGTTGTCATTTGTAATTTCAGTATTGAAACAATAATAATAATAATTACGTTTCGCTAATTAATGATGAATAATATATGGGCTGCATAAGCGTCTTAGAAAGTGTGTGTATCTGTAATATATATATAGTAAATCGATGCAGAAAGTGGAGACAGTATGATACCACTTTTTCTTTTGAACCCTTGAGTATCGGTCAATACAGATACAGATCTGATAGTTCTTGTTTAAAAACTACTAAGTTATAAGAGCTTTAACAGCTTTTTTTAATTGAAGCACTTCTCCTAATGAGTATTTAAAAGTAGGCTATCATGGGGCTCCTGAGTGATCTCCTATCATGAGAAGATCACAAGTTTGATCCCTGGTGATGCTGCAGCCATCCGTGGCCTGGAGTCCAAGAGAGCACAGTTCGCCTTGGTGGCATTGGATATGTCTAAATTGGGTGGGGGGAAAGTAGGCAATCATGCTCAAACTACTCAAGCACTCTACTATCCCACATGAAGAAATACACAGAAACAAAATAGCAAACATAGCAATTTCAGAATAGGTTTGTTACAGGATTGGATTAGATTATTTTTTTCTCTCCTATATCAGCATTTTCTACTGATATTGATCCAATACCTGTACCTGGATTGGATCAGTGGTTGTGTTTACATGCACAGATTTTTGCCAATCTGGTTGAATACATTCCGATTACAGATTTAGACTGAGGTGTTTATTTGCTCACTCTACTCAGCAGTCTGATGGAAAATCTCTGTTTATATGCGCATCACAAGTAATCAGATTCAAAATGAAACGCATGCCTAGAGTACCACTTAGTGTAGACGTTACCATGACAGCTGGCATCATGTGAGGTCCAGTCAGAGTGAGATGAGTTTTCAGTTAGCACGCTTGTGTTTTTAATTGCTTTAAATGTATGGCAGAAAAATGTACTTCACATGTATTGAGGAAGCGGTGAGAGGAAGACGTCGTGTTCTGAGACACATAAGCTGGACGCCCATCCCACCGCCGTCTTTTAAAGATCAAAGCAGAAACTTCGTCTCCTCTGCAGACCAGTTTCTGCTCTGCCATGTTGAACGGTATAAACTTTCGCTATGACATGACGCACATGATCGGAACGGACTTTAACTTTCCGATAGGGAATGTAATCAGATACAGGCATTTACACGGTTATTATTCTTCTATTTAACGGACTATTTACAGGATTACATGCCTTGTTCAATTGGATAGAAACTGTATTCTGAATGGCCTCAATCGGACTAGTCTATTCAGATTGAGGTGTTTACGTGAACTCGTTCTATTCCGATTGAGCTATTAGTGGGATTATTAATGGATTATTAGGCTGCATGTAAACATGCCTAGTGCTACCTTTAGTAGTATAGAGTATTACACAGTGATAAGAAGTCAAAGCTTGCGGTGCCCCTTTAAATAGAAAAATGCTGTTCTTCATCTCAAGGGCAACCCTGAAGGTCATTTTCCTGTGTCACACATGCCATGCGATTCACAGCAAACCAGTAATGTTCTACTTAGAAGCAAAACACAGAAACATATATGGTGCCTGAGAATTGTGTTAACTCACTGAGTGTATATCATGTAGTTTGGCAAACAATAGCCTCAAAATCCTTCCCTTCTTTTCCCAGACTCCTCAGCGGCAGGTTTGTCCAAACCCCACGTCTCAGACGAGTGCCCTTCCCCCACGTTTGGGGTCAGAGTTCAAGGCTCACCATACTCACCTGAACTGGAGCAAATCTCCCTGCATGAAAGTGAGGGTTCGTTAGTACACTCCTCAGAACATCCCATAATGCTGTGTCTCTGCTGTATCTCTGTCTGTACACTTTCGTGTATTTTGTCCCTGTTCACCTAATTGTGGAATTATACTGTAAATTTCCCACATAGTCTGCCACAGTTGTTTCAATTATTTTGCCAGTATAAGTACAGCTATTAACTGTTTTATGTGTATTTATTAACAATCTCAGACTTCTGCCTGATGGATTTGATTAATGGGATGGTTTCTTCACTCTTTTCTTCTTTTCTTGTCCTTCTCTTCTGTCTCTCTCTTCCAATATATGTTCCACTCAGGGTCAGCGGCTAACTCTCGCAGCTCAACTCAGATGAACTCGTATTCTGACAGCGGCTACCAGGAAGTGAGTGGCTACTATAGCAACATGGTGACCCCGAGGAGGTCAGAGGGAAGATCGCAGTCAACTAGCTCCGCCCCTAGTGGTAGTCCAAGCCTGGCCATGGGCTCTAGGGCTGAGGGACAGGCATCAGCACAGGTATGATTCAGTCACGTATCTGCTCTGCTGGATACATTTCTGATACACATATATTTTACCCAACGTACACTTTGCAATACTTATTAAATACTCTGTTACTATCTCTTATTTATTTTCAGTGCCATCGACCTAACCAGATCTCTTACATATACAGTACACATCAAAAGTTTTAGGACACCATGCCTTGTTTTCAGATTTTCTGATATGATATTCACTCAGTGATGTTTTTGGGATGTATTTATGGAAAAGATTTGAGTGACTATTGAGTTCTAGTGTCTGTTAGCAACATTAATGAGGTAACTCCAGCGCAAAACTAAAGAAGTAATATTTGGACACCAAACATGTCCTGGCTAATCAACTACTTCTGGGGTAGGTGGAAAAGTGCAATTCTGAATTGTTGTTGAAACATTGCATGAACACAGAGTCACACTTTAATCTATAAATGAAGTGCAATGAGTGTAAGCATACAACTCTAGAAGTGCATCACTGATTAAATCTACATAGCCAAAAAAATAAAACATGACAGTTATTATAAGTGCTTATATATTTACTCCTATCTAGAGAAACTTACAATGGTAGGTGAGCATAACATTGGGAGTCTTGTTTAAGGACTCTTATTGTGCATTCCTGGATAGGAAATCAAACCACTGATTTGACATGCCTTGGGCTGTGGTGGTATCTGCTATGTTGTTTATTGTTTTGAAAAGATCAGAAATCTCCATTAACTCTATGTGCATAAGTGCGCATGAACAAATAGGGGCACCAAGTTATCATCTGCAGTTGTCATCTTTAATTTCTATATTGAAACAATAATAATAATAATAATTACATTTCCCTAATTAATGGTGAATAATATATGGGCTGGATAAGCAGCTTAGAAAGTGTGTGTGTCTGTAATATATATAGTAAATTGATGCAGAAAGTAGAGACAGTATGATACCACTTTTTCTTTACTTGATAATGTTATTTTAAACCCTTGAGTATCGGCCAATACAGATACAGATCTGATATTCCTTGTTTTCAGATTTTCTGATATGATATTCACTGTTACTTTTCAATTACGGAAGAACAAGTACATGCAAAGGTTTGCTAGCACAAAAACACCTGTATACTAATACTTTGGGTATTTTTTCCAATACTCAGTTTTATATATATCTTTTTAATGTCCTCACCAAGAAAAAAGCAATGGAATTTTATATTTTGTATTTTTTATTTGTTTGGGGTGATAATAAAAACAATTGTTTTTGTTTTTTTGACCCCACAATTTTTTAAATATTCATGTCTACCAAACGGTCGAGATAGCACTTTGTGGCATATATAGTGACTCAAAATGTGCTGTACCAAACGGTTGAGCAGAACATTAAAGGGATATTGAAGTGTCTTCCTTGGTATGAAGGGCAGGTTTTGCATAAATAATGATTTGAAAGTTTTCTTTTTGTTTAAAGCACATATTAAATATTTTGCCATGACTGAGAGTCCAAAAGAGCACAATTAGCCTCTAGGTGGATAAGATGGCCCTCCCTCCCCATCATCTCTCAGCACAATACTAGCCAGTGCAGGTGTCTATTAGCTGACGTAACAGAATTGGCAATTAGTGTTCTCCTCCAAGTGTGTTCAGCTGTCCAATGATGTTGCATTAGCAGCAGTTTGAAAAGATGTGGTGGCTCACTTCACATGATGTGGAGGAAGCATGTGCTGGTCTTCACCCTCCTAGCACTGGTGGTATTGTGTGATTTGGGGAGACCTGGCTAGTGGGTGGAACTGGACAGGACCAAATTGGGGAGAAAAAAAATCTTTTGCCCCAAAGGTGGTTCACAAATGTGGGTGGGTGATGGGACAAAAACTCAGCATGATATTTGAACACATTTTCACAATACACAATACATATCACAGTATTTTGTTTTTCTGAGGTTTTGATAAGCTGGAAGAGACACTAGTAAAGCCACATTTACTATCAAACTATCTAAAACTATGCATAGTTATTTTCATTTATTTCACATACTGCGCTGAACTATTTCCAGTTAAACAGGACTAATTATGCTCTCTTCTTAACGAAAAATGTAGTTGGTCAGTGTTCTTTAAGTACTTACGACATCTGGCATATTCTCAGAAAAGCACATTCTGGTGTATTGTGATTAAATGTTTTACAATACGATATAAATTTGTCACATTACAAACTAAAAGAAAATGTTAGTTTGTATTTGTATTAAAATATTTTGAAAAGCTAAGTGTCCCCTTTTGATGAGCAGTGTAAGGTTTCTGTAAGTATATTTTTTATATAGATGCATGTCTGTGCTCTGTCTCACAGGTGGCAGGTGGGCGTGTAATGAGGCGTGTTAGTTCAGTGCCCTCTCGTGCCTCTTCTCCTCTTTATGCGCCGTCTCCACCCCCCTCTCACCCTATGCTGGGCTCCTCTCTGGGAAGCCCTTACGGATCGCCCATCGTCTCTGAGCCCCGCCCATTGCCCAGTGTCTTCCCTGGTACCACCCTCCCGCCCTCTTCCAGCCACGCCCCTGACCCGCTTCACTCCACCTTCCCTGGTCGCCACGGCGATGGGATGGAGTCCCCGACTCTGCTACGTTCTGGGATGACAGCTCAGCCTCAGCATTACGGAACGCTGGGGAAGCACGACGCACATGCTTACGACAACGCACACTCCTCGTTCGGGGCACGGGCCTATGACATGTTTGAGAGGATAGTTCTTTCTAGACCGGACAGTCTAACAGGTGGGTACCACAACATGATCACACTCATTCTACCATTTTGTCTTCTCTCATACAGTTCAACTCGCGATGTCTCTGTGGATTATATTACTAACTGAGAAATCTACTGATTATTTTGATAAATTATTTTTTTGAATTGATTAAAATGGACTTCAATAAAGAATAAAAGGAAATGCCTTTTTAATGTTCCAAAATATTTCATTGGAAAAATACAGTACAGTGCTGTGCAGTAGCCGTAGGCCATCTGAGAAAATGATGGAAAGCCATTTATCTGGGCATTTATTTGGTCAAAATTTTTATTATTTTATTTATTTAAAAAAATAGAATAATTTAAATCAACAAATAAATTGTACATTTTTTGCTCAATCCAATACCTAGTTTATCTAATCAATCCGCATTAGATTAAATCAGGTGTGCTGCTGATGGAATTTCAGAGATCTATACAGTAGCTGGAGTGTAGCAGGGAAACAGGAAATGGGAATGAAAATTTGGGTCCGGATGTTTCCTCGACAGCCCCAGCCATCTCACTGATTTGTTAAATTCCATGACTGGCACACTTGATTTAACATTGTGAAGCAATGATTACTCAAACTGTATATTTGATGATAAGTTAGTATTGGCCTGCTAATAGGAGAAATATGGAAAGGGTTAACGAATACATAGACATACATACGATCACTGCCTACTGTATTAATGTTATTTGTTTTAATTGTAAAATTTGTATTTGTTCTGAGCAAATAATCACTTTCTGCCTAATTAAAGAGCATTTTAAATATAGGTTACTTAAGTGCCTAAACCTTTCGTACAGTACTTTATAAATGCAAAAATAAATCAAAAATAGGAGTGTTCATCAAGTCCATTTATTTAAAATTGCAAATATTATGCACTATCATCATACAAATTGCTAAATAATCACCAAAATGCCAAATTATCAAAACACAATGATTTTAGTCAACTTTAAGTTCAATCCATTCATCATGACAGTCATAATTTCAACTAATCATGCAACAAAATCAGTATTTTTAAAAACTGTATAAATTATGAAGTAAAACATTGCAAAAATGCCTCTTGGCATTTCTTACAAGTTCAAAAATCTGCTCCTTAAGGCATGTGGCAATGCCATCACATATGATTACTCACACTGGTATATTTATAACTCTTTGCATGTGTGTGTGTGTGTGTGTGTGTTTAGTAACAGATGCTGTGACACACTGATCCAAAGCCTTGGCAGTATTGAACCAAGTGCTTAACACAGCCTGAATCCCTGGCCTACAGTCTACCCACTTACATTGAACTCGCATTTGTGTGTATAGACACATGCATGTGTGTGGGTGCGTGTACGCACATGCTGCTGTTTTGGTGTTTCATGAAATTGTGCTGATATAAAGCTCACTGTGTGAGATGCTGCCTGAGATCTGCTCCACTGCCCTATTTATGGGAGTATGTAGGACTGCTTCTCTTCAGATTAATGACGCAATGAAAGCTTCAGAGAGCAAACCACTGACTCTCAAACAGGGCAGCTTTTGTGACAGCATGCAGGTTGCTGTTAAAACTGCTTGAAGCAATCCACACAATTTGTTCTGTAGCTTCTATGGATAGAAAAAAGAGTGCTAGGTTGTGTTTTATTCAAAGGGTTTTACTGCAAAATCCGATGGAAGACCACTTTCTTTTTTTCCGAATATGCGTTGTTGTGAGTGGGCTTTAAATATACCGGAAAAATCAATTGTTCTTCCTGCTTATTCTTTAATAATACTGTCATTAGGACAATACATATGTAAAGCATTCACAAATGGTGAATCACAAAGGACATACAGCAAATAGGGTTCAGTGTAAGTACAATAGAAAGAGCAGAGTGAATAGATACTCAGTCTGTGCTCTGGGAAATCTGAATGGTAACACAGTAGATAAGGTACTTTTTGTGACACAGTGTTCTGCTTGAATAAATAAAAGTTTGGGTGAGCATAAGGCTGTGTTCAGGGCCATTTTGCTGTCTGTTAAAAGAACACTTTGATACGCATTGCTGGTTTGTTGCGCTGCAGTGCTGTCTTGGCTACACTTCGAAGATTTGTTTTGAAAACAAACGGATGCAACTTTTTTCACATTAGGTTTGAAACGTTTGTTTTCTGGCAAATGCAGACCTGGAGTAGTGGCTCATTTTAGCACAGCAAAGGCTTCATTGTTGCTGTTGTCAAACTAGCAATGAGCTGTCTTTACATTTCTTATCATTGGATCTTGCAGTTCTGGATGTGAGGTGTCTGCAGCTGGATATTAATGTGTCTAACTGAAAACCCATCCCAGGCCATCTCCTATTGGCTGGTGGATGGATAAATCTGAGTATCTTCAGAAGTTTGTTTCTGTTGAACTTTTTCACTGGACAACAGAACTGGTCTCTTTTATAAATCAACACATAGGTCTTGAACAGGGGTGCCCAATCCTGGTCCTGGAGATCTACCACCCTGCACAGTTTAGCTCCAGCCCTAACCAAACACACCTGGTCCAGGTAACAAAGGCCTTCTAGACCTTCTGAATATTAGAGCCAGGTGTGTTGGATCTGAGCTCTCTGGGGTGGTACATCTCCAGGACCAGGATTGGGCACCCCTGGTTTTGAAGTTTATGGAAAGAGGTTTTGACAGACGTAAAAATGTCCTAGTGAATGCAACCTAATTCTCCTGTGCTGATACAGGTCTACAGAGTTCTTACAGCCAGCACAGCCAGTTAGGCCAGGAAGCTCGATCCCCAGACCACCACATAACACCTGTGTATGAGGACAGAACCTTCCAGAACCCGCTCTACCAGAGTCCAACCCATGGCTCCCAGAGCGCCCTCTCCAGGAACACAGGTACAAACTCAACATCAGGTTAACCCAAAGGGCCTTAGGGGCTACAGCCATGGCCTCAGCCACTGGGGGTCCCGTGAATATAATGGTAAATGTAATAATAATAAAAATAATAGTAAAAATAATTGAAAAAGTTCTGTTTTTAGACTACTCTTAGTTTCATGTTTGCACACACTCACAGACACACAGTTGTATAAATAAGTTTAAACACACTCCCTGCCAAATTACATGTTTTGTTGATTTTCTAAGTGCAAATATGATGTTTTTCTGTGAATTTTAAATGCATGATTTCTATTTTTTAAAACATATTTAGAAGAAAAAGTAAAATGTCCTAAAACTTGTGCATAGGCCACATTTTGTTTTCAAAAATTGTGCATTTAAATGTGCAGGATTGTGTATTGGGTAGATGTGTTAACTGATTTTCAAACGAAACAAAACGTCATTTGAATACAGTTGGCAAAAAATTGCACACAACTGTAGGTAGCTACTGTCAATCAGCTTTGCCCCAAGTTTAGCCTAACCTTACCTCTGGATGATGGCAAACAGAAAATATGACAGCCGGTGGAAGCTAGAAAAGCAAACAAAAGCAGAAGAATAATGTAATACAGAAGAGTGCCCTGATAGGATGGGGTTGTAAAATTTAGGGTTTAAACTTTGCTCTCTCTGTCCAAACCCCAGCCAAAATCGCACCATATGTCCTTACCAAACATATAAAAAAATGCATTAGATGTGAATTCATGTCACTTTTTTCTCTGTTTACCAGGGTTGGGGACTCTGCCAAGGACCACCAGTCAGTGTAGTACCCTGCGCTACCAGAGGGGGGCGTACTCCATGCCTTCACACACTGACACTTACCGCTCCACCCTTTACCGCACAGCAGAGTCCAACTATGGCAGACATGCTGTTGCCATCGACAATAACATCGGTGCCACACGTTCTCCATCCATAGACAGCATCCATAAAGACCCTCGGTATAGCATCAAACCCTAAATGGAAGATCACAGAGACTTTGGCCCAATCCCATTTCTTCTTTTTACCCCTACCCCTTGTTTTCGAGTGTCACCCTTACCCCTTGGAACTAAGTTACAAGGGGTAGTGGTTGAAATCTGCCCCTACGAAATAGGACCCTCAAAAAAAAAAAAAAACATTGCTTCATTAACGGGCTACTAGCGCTGCTCTGTAGGCGACCTGGCCCGTCTTCAGTGATAGCAGAGAAGGGAAAAGTTCAGCTCCTCACTGCTGGGCTTTAGTTACATTTAGGGCATCATATGCTTTCAGAGAGGGGGGCAATTATTTATGATCACCCACCCCTAATTCTTTGGTGATATTAAGCTGAAGTCAGATATTCACCAGCTTCTTGTTCGAATTTTCCTGTTCTACTTTAAATGGTGCAGCAGTTACATTCTGGCGCTTCAGGCGTCAGAACTGCCGGACTATTTAAGGTGGAACAGGAAAGTTAGCTAGCTAGCTACCGAGACATTAGCATACTATTAGTGATTTTTTATGCTTGTTATGAAGAAAACAAACATAATACATTGAAACAACAGTAAACTAAGATAATACAATGATTATCTTAATTTTTTAACAGAGAAAATTTTCACATTTGTGGGTTTCTTTGGATTGTTAGCAAAGCCATCATGCCTGTTTTTCTTTTTTTCTCATAACACTGTTTGGACTGTGCCACTGAAAAACCTCCGTTTGGAGGGCCATGTAGCCCTAACACTTCACCCTACCCCTCTATCTCAACAAAAATTGGGACACCCTAATCCTAGACGTGAACGCGCAAAACAGAGGGCTAAGGCCTAAGTGGTAGGGGCAAGGGGTGAAATGGGATTGGGCCTTACAGTATTTTTCTAAATACTTTGTGAGCAGGGCAATCTCCATCCTGTTTTTGTATTTAATATTGTTTATAAAGAGAATGCTCACGCTAATTTGTGTGTGCATATGTTTATTAATGTGTAGGGAGTTTGCTTGGAGAGATCCTGAGCTGCCAGAGGTCATTCGCATGTTGCAGCACCACTTTCCTTCAGTGCAAGCCAACGCTGCAGCTTATGTTCAGCACCTCTGCTACAGAGACAACCGCATCAAGGCTGAGGTATACACACCCTACATGCTCACACTCTCCATGCGCAAATTAAATGAAGTGTACACAAAAATACCCACGATAGGCCTAAGCCATTTCCATCTATTGCGATTGTCGATCAAGTTGGATGATTAAAATGTCTATAAACATGCTGTCTGCGGCTTTGAGAGGCACAAAAGTAATTGTATTTGTCTCACAATCAGTTTTCTTTCATTGAGTAACATTCGTCTATGTTCTTAATCAGCCCTGGTATGTTATCGGGCTCTAGAACATTCTGTAGCAGTGCGAGGTAGATTCCCTCACCACTTGTTGTTGTGCTTGTTGAACTAATTAAGCCATACAGCAGCTTTCCATGCACGGAATGGTTTCCCTCATTGAACATGAACAGGAGCTTAAAAGATTAATATATTAATATTACATCAGTCATTTAAAATAAAAAGCCAACTTTTTTACATGGTTACAATTTTACATGGTTAAGATTTGGCCGTTTTATAATTTTAACAAAACATGATTCATGATCTGTAAACATATGATTTATTAAACCTATTCTTTTTAGGACAGAATCAGGGAATGACTGGCCTAATGTGATGCCTTCAATTAGCTGTGCTTTGTGAATGATTCACCTGCAAGATGCGACAGAAGCTGAGAATGATGAGAGACACACAGACGTTTAATTCAGTGTTTTCAGACTCCAGGCTTGGAGCCCCTGCACTGTATAGTGTTTTTCTCTGCTGTTCACACCTCGTTCAGCTCAAGAAGAGATTAATTAGTTAATAGTATCAGGTATTTTAACCAGGGGAACCACGATTATGCAGGGTAGGGGTTGCAGGACTGGAGCTGAACTCTGCTTTAACTGCACTAGCAAACTTACAAAATAATGTCTGTCGAAACACGACGTAGTTTTCCGACCCACGACATTCAGTCTGATATTTAACAGTTTATGTTTCTCCTTTCAAACGTTGTTTAAATCTCCAGAAACAGAGAAGTAAAGTTAAACCTGGCTGTTTTCAGCTCCGTTAGGGGGATGACTGTTTATCTCTCGGCTGTTAACGTAAGCACCATTTTTAAAGGCTAGCATTGTTCACATCTGTGTTAATTAGCTGATGGGCCTTAACCTCCTATGATGACAGAGTTTTCTCTCCTCTTTATGAACACCCACCCTGACGTGAAGAGCCGGTGGGCTTATGTGCTTTTAAATGCTTTGAGAGACTCTTCAGAATAGGTAGAGGGGTTGTGTATAAGATAAACACATATGCCAGGAAAACAAAATTTGGTAGCCTTCCGCCACTTTAAGTGGGACCAGGATTTCGGAGGAAGCTGTAAAGGATCACAGCCTATTTTATCGACTTTGTGTAACGTTCTCTTCCAAAGTAAGCTGAGTAATTTTAGCCTCTTTCACTTCTATTTACATTCATGCGGAGCAGCGAAGCCTGACATTTGTTCGCAAATATGGCGGCCACAGCAGAAAAATCATGTGACTGAAACCCTAGGATACACAACTTCCAAACCATAGCAAGAACAAAGTTAGCTTCTGAAAAAGAACAAGGTTTCTGACACAAGGTTTCTGAAGCATGTTTATTTTCTCCAGTTTGAGCAAGCAGGGCAGGTAGTGTAGCATGGCGATATAAATGTTACCTGCTGAAATAGGTTACTGGAGAAAGATACCATAAAAGGATCCTCAGTCTGTCAGCGTGAGGAGCAGCCTGCAGTCTGTATTTACAGCTCTTTTTTTCTGTGCCCACTGAAAACGCTGAAAATTATTGTGGCGTGTTTTTTTTTATTGTGCGTATCTCAAGCCTAACACGTGATTTGCTGACATATACCCAAATACATGCATAGTACAGATATATACACGAACTTATATATATGTGTGCAGACACAGCTCACACGAACATGAACATACAATTAAGTGACCCATCTGGTGCTTCAGGTGTGCAGGCTAGGAGGCATCCAGCACCTCGTGGACCTGCTGGACCACAAAACTCTGGAAGTGCAGCGCAGTGCGTGTGGAGCCCTCAGGAACCTGGTGTTTGGCAAAGCCACTGATGACAACAAGGTGTGTGTGAGGAATGCCGGTGGAATCCCAGCTCTGCTTCGCCTGCTGAGGAAGACCACAGAAACTGAAGTGCGGGAGCTCGTCACTGGTCAGTGTGTATAGGTTTTTAAAGTAGAAATATGTGTGTTTTTGTACATTTTCTGAACAAATACAGCCCCGCTTAGATTGGACTAGTTTATTGGGGGGAGGTGTCTGGACAGCAGTAAAATTACTGCAGGATGAGAAGCTAACTAGTGGGCTGTATCTTCTATGAATTCAGATGTTTGTCTCACATGATCATATAATCACAGAAAACTAAAAGTTGATGATACTGGGAATATAAAATAATGCTTTATACCTCTATCTGGTGTTATAATCACCTCTTTAATCAGCCTGTGGGATCTCACTTTTCTGACAATTCTTTTCTCCTCTTGCTAAGTTCTTTCAGCTAGACCAAGTAAATGGTTAAAAGATTGTTCCTAAGCACCCGTCATTTCACAGTTCATGAAGTGTGCGCTAGGAAACTAAATACGACTAACAGAAGTGGTCAGAAACTGTGTTTTCCCAGCGACATGTTCCTGGAAAATCTTGGAGAAATTAGAGTACCATTGTTTGGTGAAAAACTGTAGATTTTGTCAGGAGAGTAGGGGGAAAAACACCCCAACACACAAAATGGCCGATCTGGAGTGAAATAAAATCACAGAACATCATCTGTAAAAGAAAGTATTTCCCCAGAGCCTTATTTAATTTTATTTAAATGTCTATTCATCGTGAAATTGAATGTACAATGTAAAGGGCAAATTATGATAAAAAATGAAATATCTTCTGACAACAATGAGATGAGACGTATATATATATATATATATATATATATATATGTGTGTGTGTGTGTGTGTGTGTGTTTGTGTGTGTGTTTGCTCATTGCTGACTAAAGACTATAAGTCATTTTTAGGGCCTTATTGTCTGATTTCTTTTTATTCCTCCTCCGCCTGCTATCTCTTTCTTTCTCTCTCTCTCTCCCTCTCTCTCTCTCTCTCCATCTCTCTCTCTCGCTCGCTCTTTCTCTCTCTTTCTTTCTCTCACTCTCTTTATTCTGTCTGTCTCACTCTTATGCTCGGTGTGAATCTTTAGTTATGTAGTTGGACGAGTTAGCATTAGCATGTAGCGTTGTGTATTGCAGAAAAGAGAGGAGAAAATCACTGTATCTGAGGCCCACTGCTCTGATTAATGAA